TGCCCTGCTCAGCAAAGCCACCCCCGTGGGGCAGAGAGACAGCCAGCTCCGCTCGGCACCCTGGCCCCCAAGCCGCCCCCGCGCCCATCTGCAGACGCCACCCGGCCTGGGACTCCAGGCCCCCGGCACAGAGGAGCCTCTGTCCTCAGGCCCACTCACAGCCGCTGCACCATCCGAGGTCAGCGAGGCCTTTCCCAGCTGCCCGCCGGCTGGACCGGGCACCCGTGAGACCCTGCTGTGAGTGATGGGTCAGCCGGACGCCAGGGCCGGAGAAGAAAGGAGAGCTGTTGTGCCCCTTCCCTCCACCCCCCACATTCCCTGCGGCCCCAGGAGGGAAGGGCGGGCAGCGGGCACTGCCCACTCATCCCTGGCAGCCTGGCTCGTCCTCAGCCCTGGGCACTGGAACAGTCAGACCCAAAGGCCTCCTGGGGGGTTGCTGGCCTCAGGATACTCTGCCTCTCTGGGCTGCAGCCCCAGCAGCTGAGCAAAAGCTTGGAAGACTCAGAGCGAGACCTCCCGGGCCATAGGTAGCCCTGGAGCCACAGTCAGCTTCATTGTAGGAAATCCCGATAGCCATGGAGTCAGGGGTCCACATCCTCTCCCCTGTCAGGGACCCCAGAGCGGGAAGGGCCCTCATTTCATGAGTGCTGGGCAGGCCAGGCACGCGCTGACCCACATCTTACATGGAGTCAGTGCAGGCTCCGCTCCCGGGACCCTGGCGCTAGGAGCTAAGGCCCCCAGCCCATGATGGGACTGTGATGTCCCCGCCAAGGCTCCCATGGGGGAGGGGGAGGGAGGGCCCTTGCAAGGCCTCTACCTTTCAGCTCTCAAAGCTGAAAACCTCCCTTGGCTAGTGGGGAGACCTGGACGTGCGGGGTGAGCCCCGGCCAGCTACGCAGGTGAAGCCTGGGCTGCACCACTCGGCCTCCTCCCCCCAGCCTGCTGGACGGTGCTCAGCGAGGCCAGGCACAGACACACCCCTGCACACGGGAGAGGGCGAGCAGATGCACTCCGTCCCCCACCCCGTGGAGTGTGCTTTCCAGCAGGCAGAGAAGAAGACAGAAACAAGTCAGCAAAGCAGGAGGCTCATCAGGGGCAGAGGAGCCCTGAAGAAAGACAAGACAGGACAGGGTCGGTCATCTTCCTGGGCCACCGCAACAAATGACCATGAACCGGGGGCTTAAAATAACAGAAATGCATCCTCTCCCAGTTCTAGAGGCCGGACCTCTGGGATCAAAGTGTGGGCAGGGCCCTGCTCTCTCTAAGGCTCTAGGACAGCATTCTACCTGCCCCTTCCAACTTCTGGCGTCTGCCGGCATCCCCTGCATCCTGCGCCTGCAGACGCATCACTCCGACCTGTCTCCATCAACACCTGACCCTCTCCGTTCTATCTGTACGTCCAGATCTCCCTCTTTTTATTGGATTTAGGGCCATTGGATTTAGGGCCTGGCCTAATCTGGTATGCTCTTGTCTAAATTACATCTGCAAAGACCCTATTTCCAAATAAGGGTAACTCACAGCACCATTCAGCTCTCAGCGAGGGCCACAGCCAGCCTGGAGGCCCAAGGCAGGGAAGGAGGGACCTGGGCGCCGTCCCAAAGGGCCATCTGCTCTGGGCTGACCCGGCCCCCATGCCCTTGGTCCCAGCCACAGGGTGGGAGAGTTCCACAGATTCGCCCCTGCTGGCAGGTGAGCGAGAGGAGCAGGGCCGTGCGGCCTCCCTCTCCCCACGCAGGTGGCTTCGGTCTCTCCGCCAGCCCTGAGCGTGGACTGCGAGTTATTTCACATGTCATCATCAAATCTCCACTTCACAGCTGAGCGTACAGAGCCCCAGACAGGCCAAGCCACATGCTCCGGGTCACCTGTCCCCAACCACACACTGAGCCAGCTGGAGATGGAGAGATGGCCCCCAAAGCCTCCCAGTTTGGGGGCAGAGCCAGACTCAGGGTGCTGGAGGGGTGGGTGGGGATTAACCCTGCAGTGACCAAGCCAGGTTCTGAAAGAAGGTTTCATAGGAAGGCGTCGAGTGGGGGTCGGGAACCCACGGGGCCTGGGTCTCCCCACCAGCCAAGACCCTCCCGGACTCCCCCAGCCGCTCCCACCTGCTTTCTGGGCCTTGTGGGTGTAGTACCCACTATGGCCTCTGGAGGGCAGCAGGTGCCCACATTTCCCGGGAGCTGCCTGGAAGCACTGTCCACCCAGGTGGCTGCAGGGCCCAGGCCTCTGCCCACAGCGGTCAGCCGTTAGCCCTCACCCACCCAACACACACACAGATGGGACTGATGGCCCTGGTGGGCACTTCCTGTGGTCAGCCTGGGCCCTGCCACCTGGCAGACTGTTGGGCGCCATCCCTCTCACAGGCAGCCAGGCCCCGGCTGAAGGGCAGACTTTCGGGGATGGGGGCACTGATGTCGGGCAGGGACTGGGAAGGCCACAGGTGAGCCCGGCAGGCCTGCCCTTCAAACCACGACACCCAAGAAAATGCCCAGCCAGGCCCCCAAGCCTGCGGCGCCCCCTTGCCCTGCAGAGAGCAGCAAGCTCACAGGGCCGTCAGCCCTGGGAAGGCGGCACCAGGAGAGGGCGGGCGTGCACCCCAGGCTAGACTGTGCCCTGCCAGCTGGCATGTCCCTGCACCCTGCCCCTCGTGCCAACACCTGGGGTCAGCGAAGGGACTTCGCAGGCTGGAAGCTCACCCAAATGCACAACCCAGCGTGGGGCTCAAATGGAATGACACTGGGTGGCACATTTGGCCATGGGCCTTTCCTGGAAAAGGGACCTGAAGACAGGTGGGAAGGCGGCTGACACCCAGCACCTCCAGGGCTGAGTCCTGGGATCTCAGGTCACATCAGTGCGTCACCAGGCCCTTGCTGAGCACCTGCTGAATACAGGGCCCTGGGCTCTGTGCCGTGGGATGAACATACAAGAGCTGTGGCAGGAAGGGGCTGTATTAACAGAGGAATAGTATCCAGAAGAGAGGAAGGTGAGTGTTCCCCCCGCATTTTAAGGGGGATTTTCGCACATTTTGAAGCATCTTGGGGGAACATGCCAGGATGACAAATGATTTGGATTCCGTGTCATATCAAGAATGACTGGACTTCCCTGGTGGCACAGTGGTTAAGAACCCGCCTGCCAATGCAGGGGACAGGGGTTCGAGCCCTGGCCCGGGGAGATCCCACATGCCGCGGAGCAACTAAGCCCATGCGCCACAACTACTGAGCCTGCACCCTAGAGCCCGCAAGCCACAACTACTGAGCCCGTGTGCCACAACTACTGAAGCCACGCGCCTAGAGCCTGTGCCCCGCAGCAAGAGAAGCCACTGCATGAGAAGCACACACAGTGCAATGAAGAATAGCCCCCGCTTGCTGCAACTAGAGAAAGCCTGCGCTCAGCAACGAAGACCCAACACAGCCAAAAATAAATAAATAAAATAAATTTTAAAAAGAATGACTAAAGAACATGATAACCAGGGACGATGTAATAACTGGTCCTGATAGGTAGTGAGCTCCCCGTCCTGGAAGTATTCAAGCAGAAGCACGATATCAGCTTCCTTGGTCTGGGTTGGGGGGCAGGGTATCTGTCTTGGCCCCTCCACCCTCCACTCTCCTCAACTACCAGAGGGGTCTTTCCACCAGATCTGATCACTGTGTCTTTGCTGGAACCCCGAGTGGCTGTCATTTTACATTTGTCTGTCTTTCCCCACAGTGAGCTCCATGAGGACAGAGATCATGGCACTTTTGCTCAAGGCTGTATCTCTGATGCCCTGAGCAGTAGTCAGCATACAGTAGCTGATCAATAAATACCTAAGAGTAAAGTAGGAGGAAAGCAGGGAGGAGGAGGAGGCTTGCTGGAGATGAACCTTGGGCTGGCCCCAGATGACGGCATCAACATCAGCCAGCTTCCAGCAGGTTGTGCTGCTGTAACAAACACGCCCCCCGTGTCAGGAGCTTCCAACAGTGGCAGTGGCTCTGCTCCACTCGGCTCCTCATTCTGGGGCTGGAGATCCTCTCCTGGCAGAAGCAAAGGCCGGGGGACCCAGCAGGCACAGGCAATGGCTCTAAAAGTTTCTGCTCCAGGTTCCTGGGCCAAAGCTCATCACCTGGCTCCGTGGGGCAGGAAGGATGCTCCTCGCACAGGGAGGTGGTGCTGCAGGTCTCCTGGGTTGGGCTGCCTTCTCCCCCTGCAGAGAAGGGAATGCTGGGAAGTTGGGGGCTGCACAGGCAGAGTGTGGGCAATGGGGTGGGCCACACGGGGAAGTTGAGTCCTCTGCCCTTGATGGAGGAAGTAACGGGCAGTCCCTGAGTGTGCTGAGAGCCGGCTCCACTGTTGCCACCCTGGGCTGGTGTGAGCTGGGATTTGGGGTGGTGGGTGACATAGGGCAGGTGGGATGGCAGAGGGGTTCCCTGCCTGGCTGACTGGCAGGTCAGCCCAAGCTCAGAGTGGAAACCCGCCTGTCCCCGCCCACAGCATCTCCTGCAGCGCCAGGAAGGCTGATTCCTGAAACCCCAGCTGGGGGGCTGTTGCAGCCTCTGCCCAGGGGACCCACCCTAAACAAGGCCTGGAAAGGGCAGGCTTGGAGTCCAGACTCAGTTTTGTGCCGGCTGGCAAGCGCCTTACTTTCCAGGCCTCAGGAACCTCATCTGTAAAATGGGGGTGATGGAAACAAACCAAACACCTTGAAGGCAGCCAGAGTTCTCCGAGAGCTCCTGGGCTGCCCTCTGGCCGCCATTCTGCAAAGGTGGGGCCATTTCTGCAGCAGTGGAGGCCTTGCAAACCTCCGATTCCCCGCTGGGCTGGTCGGCTTCTTGGAGGGCTTCCTGGAGGAGGGGGCAGCAGAGCCGGGCCCGTAAGGAGAAATGCAGGGTCGCAGAGGGGTGAAGCCGGGTAGCCCTGGCGTCACCCTGGCAGGCGACGCCAGGCCCGAGGCGGTGGGCGTGGAGGGCGAAGGGCGGAGGGCGGTCCCAGAAGGGCGACTCCTATCGGGACTCGGAGGCCGAGGCAGCTCGGCTGCAGGTCACGTGGGCGCCGGCTGGCCAGGTGGGGACAGTGACGCAGGCTGCGCAGCCAGGTACCTGGGGCGCGCCCCGCCGGCCCCTCCCGCCCGGCACTCGGAGCGAGAGCCGCCTGGCGCGCGCCCTGCCCACCTGGCCGCCCACCTGGTGGGGCCGGAGCGCTGCCGCCTCCTGCAGGGCCGCACAGGAAGTGGGGGGGCGGGGACAGGGAGGGACCGAGCGGCCGGGACGGAGCTCGGGGCCTGCAGAGCCTGGAGGTGGCCCGGCCCCCGTCGGCCGCCGAGCTCGTAGCTCCGTCCTCCGCCCCACGGCGCAGGTAAGCCTGGGGGACAGGTGACGGGGGAACAGGTGAGCCTGGGAGACAGGTGGGCCTGGGAAGGGACGGGTGAGCGAGGTGGTGGGGATGAGCCTTGGGGAGGGGGCTGGCAAGGCCGAGGGCGCACTTCCTCCCCTTCGCTTTTCCCGCAAGCCCTGCCCCGGGGGCCGCGTCACTCTGCGGCTGCCGGCCTCCGCGGTGGCTGCCCAGCGGGGGCTGTGGGAGGGGACAGAGCCTGGCTGGACCTAGAGCCCCTGACCTCTGACCCCCCCCACCCCGTTCCCCTGGGCTTCGGGCGTCCCAGCTCCCTGCTCCTCCCCTCCTTTGAGCCCTAGGGGACACTCCCTCGCCCTGGACGGGACTCGCAGCCAGAGCTCCCACTGGGGCATCAGGGCTGAGATTACCCTAGGGAGCCCCAGGACCTTTGAAAAGGCGGGGCAGGGTGCGCACGGAACGACCCTCCCAGCAACTCCGGAGAATCTGCTGCCCAAACCTGCTTTGGCACCAGGAGTATCGGCCCCAAGAATGAGGACCCCCTCCCCACATCAAACTGGGAACAAACTCCTCCCCCACTCTGGTAGGCAGACTCGGCGGCAGGGACGGGTCCTGGTGTGCATCCCATCCCGCTAAGAGGGAGGGGGAAGGGAGGAGGGCGGGGCTCGGCTCCCAAAGCTGTGGGTCCCGCTCACTGCCAGGACACCTGGCTTAGCTACCCACCCTCCGTTTCTGCATCCGGGAAGCAAGGATCTTTTTGAGATTTGTGTGGACCTCAGCCCAGCAGCGGGCACGCGGTGGGGGGGGCGGCCGGGAGCTCTGCATCTGACCTGGAGGTGAACAGTCTGCACCTCCTGGTGGCGGCTCAGTGGGTGCTTGTCAGGCCAACCAGTCTACCCTGCACCCCTGCTGCCTAGTGCTTAAGGGCGGGGACCCCAGGTCCAAACCCCGGCTCTGTGTAACCTGTTACTTAAGCCCTCTGGGCCTCAGTTTCCTGCTCCGTGAAATGGGAGCAGTTAGAGGGTGCTGACTCAGCTGCAGCTGGATCCTCTTCTGGTTACCGCCCTGCCGATGCCCATGGGCCGCAGAAGCCAGCATCACATCACGGGCACTGCCCAGGGCTTTCCCAAGCTCTCCTGGCAGGGGGGAGTGAGCTGGCGGAGGCCCCTCCCCCTCCTACCTGGGCACCTGCAGGGGAGGAATCTGTGCAGGGCAGGGGCATCTCTGTTCCACAAGGGCTCTGGTTCCCCAGGGGCTTGGCACAGGGGGTGTCTCTCACCCTACACGGGAGACGCTCTTCACCTACACGAGAGGAAACCAGGTGCAGAGTGAGGTGGCGTGACGTGGCTTGCCAGCGGGGCCCCTGAGATGCCAGTCTGTGCGTGACCCGATGGGCATGGCCACTCCCCGCGGCTGGGTCCTGGAATTCTAGTTTCAGTTTCTGAATGGATCTCAGCTGCCCCTCTCTTTCGCCTGTGGCCGTTGTCGCTCTCGGGCGACCGGCCGCCTGTACCAGCATCTTTATTTCCAGTGAGAGTCGCCACTCACCCAGCTGGCCCACTGGGTCAGTGATCTGGGTCAGGACAGCGCCTGGCTCCTTGCCCAGCTCTCCGCTGACCGGCAGCCTGACCTCAGCAGGTCACATTCCCTCTGCTCCTGGTTTCCTCACCTAGCAGAGCAGGGAAATGCCTGCCGTCCAGAAGATCCCTGAGGGGCTAGACACACAAGGAGAGAAGGTGTTTAGAGGACACCCGTGGGTCACCTGTCCAGGCTACCTGGCGGAGTCAGGGCTCTGATTTCTTATCCGGAGCTCCTCTGGGGAAACACTGTGTGCCAGCCAAGGCTGGCACGGGGGCTGGGTTTATGGGGCGGCTGGATTCAGAGCCGGGAGTGGGAGCCACGGGTGGGCCTGTCTGGGTGGGCACTGCGGGCTGAGCCTGCCGGTGCCCGGAGGCATCATAGGAAGGAGACAGCAGGAGGCTTTTGCTTGGGGTGGGAGGAGCACGAGGCCTGCCACTGCCCCTCCCACTGCCAGGCTGTGTCTGGGACTGAGGACGGCCAGGCGGGTCTTCCCAACCTCTAGGGAGGCGGGTGAATCTCCAGTTAGCTGAACCGAGGTTTCTCTACCTCAGCACTGCAGACATTTGTTCCGGATGATTCCTTGTCGTGGGTGGTCCTGGGCCCTGTAGGGTATTGAGCAGTGTCCCTGGGCTCTGCCCACAAGAGGCTGGTAGCTCAGCCCCAGCTGTGACCACCCAGAATGTCTCCGGACTTGGCAAAGTGTCCCCCCGGGGGCCAAGCTGCTCTGGTTGAGAGCCCCCAGCTGCTCCGGCCACCCTACAGACAGAAGTGTTTGCTACGTGCTCATGGTTTATGAAGCCAAATCCTGCCCCACATTCCATGTGACTCCAGGTCTGGAACCTGGCCGGGCAGAATTACCCGAACACAAGGCCATCATCGTGGGTCAAGTTTGTCTGAGCAAAGATGGGGTCTTGTGCACGGTGCCAGGGAGGCCGAGCCTCACCAGGCAGGGTCCCGTCAGCTGGACCTAGAGGGACAGACGTCCCACGGATGGAGGTGTTGTGGTGACGTCACCCAAGGGGTGGCAGGTCCCATACTCGGTGCGGTTTGGGTCCTGGTGGCTGTGAGAGCTGCTGCGACCAGAGCCCCAGGCCCAGGCCAGGAGGGCTGTGTTCTTCAGGGCAGCAGGAGGGACGGTGCTGAGCCTGCCGGGGTCCTGGGAAGCCCATCTGTCAGGAAAAACGAGGGCTCCAGGGGTGCTGGGCTGCAAGGGGCCCTCTGGGCCAGGCCATCGTGAAATGCAGAGCCAGGGCAGGGCCAAGTGCAACGTAGGACCAGACAGGCTGTGTCGGGTCACCTGAGGTTGCCAGAGACCTCCCCCACCTCCACCTGTGGACTCCCAGCCCCCGCTCCTCCCACCCAAGCCCCGCCTGTCCCTTGCCCACCCCTGCACATGTGCTGGGGACACCGGGAAGGGCTGCTTAGTGGCAAAGGGAGAAGCTGTGGTTCCCAGGGCTCAGCCGTAAGGGGCCCTCCCCAGCCCACCCTGAGCAGAAACAGCAGGGCGTCACCCAGGAGGGGGCACAGATGGGTCTAGAAGCTCCTGTGGAGCTGCCCTGGTGGATTCGGCACACCTGAAGCAAAGTACCAAGTGGGCTATAGTTCTCCACATGGAACACCCAGGCCTCTTCAGGAAGACACGGTTCCAGGGAGAGCAGAGCCAGGCAGGTGCCCACGATATCAGCATTCACACATCAGTTTGCGAATTGAGCCCAACTGTTTGTGGGGACGTAAACAGGAAATCATCCCTGCTCCTGAAGGACACACAGGCTCGTCAGGGAGACAGAGGGACATACGGACAGCACGCGGCCCTTGCTGCCGTGGGCATCGGTGGGGGAGCTTCCCAGGGCTGCCTTTGCTGGGGAGCAGACCTGCCTCTGTGGCTCGAGTGGTCACTGCCGGGTGTCTGGTCTCTCTCTCTCGGTGGCATTGCTGCCCACAGAACATGGCCGCCATTGCGACTGTGCTCTCGGCCCTCCCCTGCACTGGCTGCAGGACACCAGGCAAGGGCCAGCATCCGGGGGGGATGCTGAAAGGGATGCTCTTAGGGCCAGTTGGCTGGAGGAGAAGCCTCCAGACATGGACCCTGTGGGGAGTCCCAAAGAGCCTGCCGGGCAGAAGCATGTGCTCACGTGTGTGCGCTCACATGTGTGCTCACGTGTGTGCGCTCACAGGGCACACAGGTCTCCCACCAGAACATGCCTGTCTCCTAAATGGGAGCCGACAGCTGACTGGGACATTGAAAGAGGATGTGGCATCCGCGAAACAAGAACAGACTGCTCTGCATAAAGAGCGAGAGAGAGATCTTTGTGGGACCAGGAAGACAACGATTGTGTGGTGGAAAGGTGGGAGTCTCCCACAAAGGGGAACAAGAGATGAAGGAGAAGGAGAGAAGAGGTCGGAAATGGGGGGTTCTCACTAAAGGCTGTTCCAGAAAGAGACCAGAGCAAATGGAGGTGGGAGAATTTATCAAAGAAATAGCACTGGAAAATGCACGAACCTAAAACAGGTGGGAAGGACGCACAAGCCTGTGGCTCAGGGAGTGAACGTGGATCCGTCGCCGTGCCTGTCCCCATAGGTGGTAAAGCGGAGCAGGGGGAAAGAGAGCCTCCTGTCGTGACCAAGGAGGTGAAGTCAGACCGGCGTCGATGTCTCGTTGGCAGTGAAAGCAGGAAGGCGAGGGAAGAAGGCTTCTCCATTCTGGAAGAAAATAATCTCCAGTGGAACTCTAAAGGCATAAAGAAGACACTTTCAGAGGTCTCCCTCCCTTGACGCTGCCTTGGGAAGGTGCCAGGGACTGGGCCCCAGCTCAGTGGGGGGAGAGGAAGGAAAGGGAGGGCCAGGATGCCAGGTGGGGGTCAGGGGGCCGAGCTCCTGCCCTGAGAGCCGGGAAGGGAGGGCCTGGGGAGAGAGGACTGATGCTTGGACCCTGTGGAGCACACGATCCAGATGCCCAGGGCAGGGACGCTGGGATGCACGGGGGGGGGGGAATTAACAGGAAGAAAGCCAGGCAGTAAACAAGAGAGAATTATTAACGCGGCCAGGCTAACACAAACACCCACGGGGCATGGCTGAGCCGCTGGGCGGAGCCTCATTCACACAGCCAGGGGAGGGTGAGTGATGCTCCAGGCTAGGAGATCTCAAAATAGCAAGTGGGGCTTGTTTAGAAATTGGGGGAACGCTGAAAAGCCAGGAGTGGTGGTTTGTGGGGGACAGGGTGGCGCGGAGGAGGGGACGCCTATCTTGGATGATAAGTCTCTCCTCTCCGTGCTGTTTGACCTTCGAACCTATGCCCAGGTAGCTCTGTGATCAGCTAAGCAGCGGGAGGAAGAAGACAGGGGTCCTGCGACAGCTGCAACCCCAGGAGTCGGCTCCAGCCGGGCCCGGGTCCTGGAGCTCATGCAAGAGCAGGGCAGTGGCCCACGCCCCTGGCACAGTGCCCCTCCCCTTCAGGCCTGGGTCCCGGGCTGGTGGCGCCCCAGGCCTGTGGGTGCGGCTGCCTTGTTTGGAACCGAGATCACACCCAGCAAGGGCTGGCCTGACAGGCTCCGTCTGGCACCTTCTGGCTCCGGAAGAGCCTTTGCCCTCTCCTGGGAGAGGACGTGTGCCACTGGCTGGGTCTGGGGCCTGGGCTCGGAGGAGGGGACTCAGGCCTGGGGCCTGAGACGGGGAGGAGGGAGAGGAAGGAGGAAGAATGAGGGGATGGGGCGGGCAGGGGTCACGGGCACCACAGTCTCCGTGTTATACAATGTAAACCACCCCCGTGGGAAATACACGGTGGCTAGATAAAAGGATTCAGGAGCTGGACGTCTCCTGGATGCCCACTGGGGTGCATTTGCTTGGCCTGCATAGATGGAAACCTGTAAGAAACCCATTTCTCGGCCACGCCTGGGTATGGTGCAGCCAAGTTAACACAGGGAGGGTGACCCAGGAAGGTGCAGACCCACCCACGGCTGCCAGTGCCGGGGAGGCCTGGGGACTCAGAATGCCCCAGGAATGCGTGGGCCATCCTCCTGCTGTGGGCGTGGCCAGGGCTCCAGCGGCAGCCCCTCCCTGCAGCCCGGGAGGCTGAGCTGCTCACACCTTCCTGGGATGCTTTTAGCCGGAGAATCTGGGAGCTGGGGCAGCAGAGCAGGGCGGAGGGCCAGGCCTCTGGGGGCCCCTGAGTTGCTCCCACTGTGCCGTGATTTAGGCCACCCCATGTGGCCAGACCTTCCCAGCCTCCTGTCAGAGGGATTCCTGGGCTGAAGCTCAGAACCTCCAGGGGCAAGCACCCGGACCCAAGGTGTGTGTGTGTGAGGTGTGCTCAGGCTGGAACCCGCCGGGTGGGTCCAGGGACAGACAGTGGGTCCCTGGTGGCGCCCACCATCCCAGGCCTGGCCCCTCCGGCTGCGTGCACCCAGGTGGGAGAGAGCAGGGCATGCCCTCCCCCCACCACAGAGCTGCTGGATAAACTCCTGGGTCAGCGGTCCTCCCCAGGTCCACAGGGGAAGTGGCACGGGATGCCATGGTGTAGCTCTGAGCTGAGGTTCCCTCCCAGCGGGACCACCTGGGCGGGTGACTTAGAATCTTAGTTCTCCATCTGAAAAAGGCTTCCACCCTTACCCGGCTCTTGTAATTTTAACGTTCAGACGTTCTGCATTTATAAGAAGCATATGAGTGTGGCTATTCTCGTTCTTATTAAAAGTAAATGGGAAAGAATGAAAAGAGTGAGTTCTCTCCATGTTATGTTTGCGTCGTATGAACTTCTAAACCTTCAGCCGCTCCTCTTGAGGCTCACAGATAACCTTCTATTCGGCACCGGTGACACCATAGCCCCTCGGCGGCCAGGTCCCTGTTTAAGCACTACATGTATGAGCTCCGCACCTTTCCCAGCATCCTCAGGAAGCTGGGTACTTATTATTGTACCCATTTTACATATTTTTAAAGTGAGGCACAGGGTGTAGCAGCTCAGCTTCTGGCTGCGAAGCCAGCCTTTGAGCACCGCATCCTTTCAGCCATACCTCGGGCTCCGGCTGCAGCAGGGCTGCCCTCACCTCTGTCCTTTCCCCCAGGTCACCGCGGCCACTCAGCATGTCCCAGCAGCACTCGGACAGCTCCTTGGAGGAGAAGCTCCTGGAATACCGCTTCCACTCGGAGCTGCATCTCGACACCGAGGGAAACCCAGCGTCCGGGCTCCCGATGGTCCGGGGCTCCCTGCAAAGCAGGAGCAATGCCGCCTTCCAGCCCGACGCCCCGGTGCCCCCGTCGCCGTCCCCTGAGGCCCAGGAGCTCAGGACCATCGTCCTGAGCACGCAGAGCCCGGCAGCCCTCAAGATGGGCACTCAGCAGCTGATCCCCCGGAGCCTGGCTGTGTCCAGCAAGGCTAAGACCCCAGCCCGCCATCAGAGCTTTGGGGCAGCCATGCTCAGCAAAGAGGCTGCCCGGCGGGACCCCCGGCTCCTCCCGGCCCCCAGCTTCTCCCTGGATGACATGGACGTGGACACGGGTCCTGGGGGGATGCTGAGACGAAATCTGAGGAACCAATCCTACCGGGCGGCCATGAAGGGGCTGGGGACCCCCGGCGGCGAGGGCGGCCCCGTCCAGCTCAGCCCCAAGATCCCGGCTCTGGCCGAGGAGCCCAGCCAGCCTCCTGCTCGGTCCACGGCCAAAAATAAGGTAGGGGGCTCATCTGCCTGGGCAACGGGGCGGGGGCCGTGCCTCAAGGGGCCTCGGGAGCTTGTGGGCAGGGAAGGGGCCCGAACACACCTTCACATCATCATGCAGCCGCGCACCTTTTGCAGGCTCCTGGGAGGGTTTATTCCAGTTGAGCTCTACAGCCAGGCCGTGAGCAGAGTGTGAATGTCCCCATTTTATAGATGAGGCAGCTGAGGCTCAGGAAGACCGAAGGTGTTAGCCAGGACCCCGGCTCTCAGCCACAGCGGGGAGCGGAGCCCGGGGAGGAACCAGCCCTTCTCTCCAAGTCGCTCTGAGCACGGAGGGGGAGCCAGCCCATCTGAAGGACAGATTTCAGTCATGGCTTTGCAGCATGGACTGGCCTGGGGTCTGTCTGCCCGAGTGGCGCCCGTCGGGGACTCAGGAGGGCTTGTGGCAGCTCAGAAATCGGATGCTGCCCTGCACGCTCTCCCTCCCTGCCCTGCCTGACTGCCGGCTCAGGGCTCTCTGTGCCCACAGGCACCGTCCCGGTGGCCTCCTCCACCACGGGCTTCTGCCCAGACCATGAGCCCTGGCCCTGATCTGGGGAGAAGCCCAGACCACCTGTCAGAATGCTGGTGACCCAGCGTGCAGAGGGGCAGGGCAGGGAGGACCGCTGTCCTTGGGCTAGAGACACCCCTGGCCTGCGAGGCAGGGCACAGCCCCTGCCGTGCACGCCAGAAAGCCTGGACCCCGACACCTCCACGCCCACCCAGGGCCAGGCCTGCAGGGTCTATTGTTCATTCATGCTTGATTCATGTAGCCAGCCAGCGTTTCCCGAGGCCTCACGCACCCAGTGAGCAGAGGCCCCAGGAGAGCTCCCAGGGTGGTGGGGCTCCTCAGGAGCTCAGGGCCGGGGCGGTGGGGGGGGGGGGGGTCAGGAGTCCCGGAAAAGAGAGGGTTAAAGTAGAGGCATGGACACAGGATGGGAGCCAGGTGGAGGACGGGCTGCGGAGACAGCGGGTGCCCGGGCCTGGAGGTGGAAGGGGTGGGGGCGCTGGGGGGTGCCGGGCGGGCAGCAGGGAGAGCCGGGTGCGCCTGGGAGCACCACACGTTCCAGACCAGCACGGGGAGTTTCAGGCTCCAACTTATTTCGAGAAACCAGCTCCCGCTTTCCTGGAACCCGTGCACCTGTGGGTCAGGGGAAATGGTGTCCCAGCCAAGGAAGCGGGCTCTTAGTGGCAACTGGAAGGACCAGGGTATGGGGCCCTGAGAGCCCTGCCCGCCCCCAATTCACCCCTGCAGCCCCACCAGCAGCTGCTGGGACCCCGGGCCTGTGCTGGAGCTGGACGCCAACCTGCCAGGCTCTGCTCTTCCTGCCACCCCAGGTCCCGGACTCGTGGGGCCCCCGTGCGGCCCTGGCTCCCACCCCAGTGTCCCTTCTAGGCCATCTCCCAGCCACACCTGTGCTGCCTCGGCTTCCCCCCAGGCCCACCTTCCTGACCATCTCCTCTCAGCAGCCCTCCTGGGCCTGCCCAGCCCTTGGTCACCTGCCCTGCCTGCTCTGAGCCCCATCCCACCCCGTCCTACCTGCCCTGGCCTCTGCCTGGTGGCCCCGCCTCCTTGTGGAGCCAACATTTATTAAGCGCCTTCTGCATGCGCAGCAGAGGCCCCTCGTGTTGGGCGTGGCGTCACATGTGGAGGGTCTGGTCTCTGGGCCCAGGTGCAGGGACTGCTGCCCGCCACCCCTCCTCCCTGCTGACTGCCCGTGTCTCTGGGTCTCTCTGCACAGAAGACGCTGGGGCGGAAACGTGCACACAAGGGCTCCTTCAAGGACGGTGAGTGTGGCCAAGGGGCGCCGTCGGGCGGCACTGCGGCCGGGCTGGGCCCTGGGGAGGCTGGTCTCACTCGGGCATCCTGGGGGAGACGGAGAACTACGTGCTGGATGGGTCCCCTCTGGGGACTGGAGGGCCTGGTGGCCCGTCTGACCCTGCAGCTCTGATGGGCCTAGAAAGTTCCCTTGGACTCCGTGCTCTCGCAGGGGCAGCGGGCCGACAGAGCCTCCACACTGTCCCTCAGCAGATGTTTGTCAAGCACGCTGTGTGCGCCAGGCCCTGCCGGTGGGACCAAGGCCAGGCAGAGGGCCCTGGGCCTGGGGTGCAGAGACACAGGCCACAGGGACCCAGTGTTAAAGGCTCAGGGGCCATGGGTGACATCTGGGCTGCAGCAGGGCCCGGAGCAGTGCCTTCAGCCTGCCGAGGGGTGGACGCCAGCAGTGCCCTACGGGGGTTGGCGGGTAGGTGCCCGCCCAGCCTGGATGCAGCAGCCAGCAGGTGTAAGGGGCCCCAGCCAGAAAGGGCCCCCTCCCTGCCAGCCCCAACCTCTGTGGACAGCCACAGGTCCGGGCATGGGGAGGCCTCAGGATTGGGCCTCGTCCCCCAGGACAGCAGCAGTGATGCCCCAGGTCTCGGAGCCAGGGCGGGAGGGAGCTGCAAGGAAGGGCTGCCTCAGAGCCGTCCCGAGCCGCGCACCCGCCCGGCGGGGCTGCTGAGCGCGTGGCCACTGCAGAGCCGGAGAGCGGGAAACCTCACCTTGGGCTGGGGGGCTCTCAGGAGGCGGCCTCCAGCGCCCTTGGCCGACCTGGGGACAGCCGCTGCCCAGTCCCCCTCCCCAAGGCCGTGCAGTTTGGCCCGTGCCCCTCTCTGATGTGTTGGCTCAGTCCTGGTCTGAAGGTGCCACATTCTGCACGGGATGCCACCCCTGCCCTAGGCTCGGCCAGCTCAGCCACGGGAGCCAGCCGGCCCGAGGGAAGCCTGCTCTGGGGGGCCCTGTACCACCTGACGCTCTCAGGGCCTCCTCGGGGAGGACTCAGCGTGTGGGTTCCCGGGGGGCCAGGACCGCTCAGAGCCCCCAGGCCTGCAGGTGACGCACACCCCCTCTCCCCAGATCCCCGGTTCTACCAGGAGATCCGGGAGCGAGGCCTGAACACCATCCACGAGTCCGACGATGACTTACTCGATGAGTCCTCCAGCCCTGAGGAAACCCAAAAGGCGGATGACCGCATCGTGGTCAAGAGCTACCGGCCCCCCCAGGTCACCTGGAGCCAGCTCCCAGAGGTGGGGCCGGGGTGGCGGGGAGGGGCCCTTCTCCCGACCCCGTGGGTGGTCCTCCCGGTGAGGGGTGCGGCCTCCTGGAAACGCCTGTCTGTGCCTAGCTGGCAGGGAGATCTTCCTGGTGTCTCAGAGCTGCCCTGCCCTGCGGGGCCCCGTGGGGGTGGTCGCTGCGGTGGGGAGAGGGGTTGGGGCGTGTCATCTGTGTGTATGTGACGGTCGTCCCACGGGTGAGCCCCTCACCCTCCCTGAGCTCCCTGCTCAGGCTGACCTGTAGGGACCTGGGGGCACAGGGGACCTCCTCCCAGGGCGCTGTGCCCAGAAAGTGCCAGGAGGGTCCAAATGAGGAGGCCAGAGGGGAGGGGAGAGGCCTGGCCGAAGCTGCGTGCCACTGCCACGCGCCCCCTCACCTTCCACGTCTGAAAATGGGGCTGGTCCCTGCCCTGCAGGGCTGTGGGTTCTCAGTGGAGAGCGTGGCTGGGACAGAGGCGCCGGTGCTCCAAGCAGGTACCCAGGGAGGCAGCTCTCGCTACCCCAGGAGGGCGCAGCTGGCCGTGGCGCAGACAGACTCCTGACCCCGTCCCCTGGGAGCCGAGGGACGGAGCTGCAGTGCGGGCTGTGGGCGCGGTGGGCAGCAGGGAGGGGCATCTGGCTGTTCCTTCTGTCTGCGGTACAACAGGCCTCCTCATTTGCATCCCGTGGGGCAGGAGAGGGGCCGAGGCACCGTGACCACCCAGCGAGATCCAGGACGCTGCATGCCATGGGGCCGCGGGCCAGGGAGGGCCCAAGACGGGGCAGGGGGTTAGGGCAGGCACACGAAAAGTTCCGGAAGTGCACGTGTGTTCCCACCCGCCAGGTGCCAGCTGTGTGCCTGGAGGTGCGTGTGCGCGACCTCCCGGGTCAGGGGTGGGATCCAGGACAGTTTATCCTAGAAACGCTGCCGGAGGTTCTGCTTCCGTCACCTGAGCTCAGGTGTCTCGGCCAAGCCTCTGGGTCCGAGGACGCGTAGGATTTACCTTCCCAGCTCAGGCGCTGCTGGCAGCCTCCGCCCAGCCCGCTGGGGAGGGGAGCACGAATCGGGTGGCCCTGGTCCTACAGAGGGTCGCCCCCGGCAGGCTCTGCAGGCACTCGGCGGGCATACTGTGGCCGAGTGAGCCACGCTCCAGCTGGGGCAGCCGGGGGCCAGGGGACCTGAGGGGTGGAGAGCGGGGCAGTGCGCCATGCTGGAACAGTGTCACCCCTACCTCTGGGCAGGGTGCTCGCTCACCTGGCCCAAGTGTGCCTGAGTCGTGGCCCTGTGCTCAGCACGCCCCTCAGCTTTCCCAGGTGCTTCTGAGTCTCTCCACTACCTCCCAGCCCCCGGCAGCTCTGTGGGACAGAGCCCCGGTCCCACCCCTGGAGAGGCCTTTCCCTCCGGACACCCATGCCCTTCCTCGGCTGCCCCAGGGCCCCTCTGAGGGGGGAGGTGTCCTTGGAGAAGAGAGACCTGGGTGAGGGGACCGAGCAGGGACAGGCCAGCTCGGCGGTCCCAGGTGTCCCACGAGGTGCAGCTCTGCCCGGCCAGCCCGGCGTCTCTGGCTCCGTGCTGGCTCTGGCCCGGTGGCAGGATGAGCTTCCCGTGACTCGAGCCCGTGCCGTCCTCAGGTGGTGGAGTCGGGCATCCTGGACAAGCTGCCCGCCGAGGAGCACGAGAGGCAGGAGGTGAGGGGTGGGCTGGGGGCATGGCCCTGCTTCTGACACGCCAGTGGGGGGCGTGGGGACCACAGCCCTGGCGACATTGCCCACTGGCCCACTGGCTGCCTCCCGGTACCCGGCGATGGCTGATGCCCTGGCTGGGGTGGGGGCTGGGGGGGCTACCGTTACCCACTTTCCGGGCGAGGGTGGGAGCCCTTGCCAGCGCCACAGCTCATCAGTGGCCGAGCCAGAGTGCAAGCCCAGGACTTGGGCTCACGTCCCCACGGCCGCGCTGACGGCCCCAGCCTGCGTCCTGTCCAGGGGGCCCAAGTCCCAACCTGCCCCCTGCCCCCCAATCATATCCCCGCGGCCTGAGCACTGGTCACCCGCGCACCCAGGGCCAGGCCCCGTGTGTGGCAGGGCAGCTCCAGGCAGGGCCTGGCGGGCGCAGCTGCCCCAACGTCCGCTCTGCTCTCGCCCCAGGCCATCTTCGAGATCCTCACATCAGAGTTCTCGTACCAGCACAGCCTCGGCATCCTGGTGGCCGAGTTCCTGCAGTCCCGGGAGCTGCGGGCGACCATGACCCAGACAGAGCACCACCACCTCTTCTCCAACATCACGGACGTGCTGAGCGCCAGCCAGAGGTCAGGCCCGGGCCCAGCCCGTCGGCCCAGCACCCGATGGCGCAGGCTCTCGAGGGCGGGGAGGCTGGGGCTCTGGGTGACCCCGGTCTGCGAGTGTGGATGGACGGCCTGGAACAGCCCTGGGGGGCAGGGAGCACGAGAACCTTACGGGGCCCGCAGCCACCAAGAGCTGGCCCTGGGGACGTGCAAGCACAGAGGGCCAGTGACGAGGCGTGAGGTGCCCGCGGGACGGAGCAGGCTGGAGGCGGCCTTGAGTTGCAGCCCCGGGTCGTGTTCCGGGCTGAGGTGTTTGGTGCCTGGCCCAGGGCTCTGGTTGCAGGGCCAGAAGGTGGAGGAGGGGCCGGGTGTGTAGCTGCAGGCCTGCCAGGGCCTCTGTGTGTGTGTGTGTGTGTTCATGTGCGTGCGTGTGTGGCAGCAAGTGTGTGTGTGTGCGTGCGTGTGTGTGTGTTTACTCCCATGGAGGGCGAGGTCCAGGTAGCACCTGTGTGGGTCCAGCCCCTCACTGCCCTGCACCCTAGGCGACCCCATAACACCCTGTGGCGTTGCCCTGAGCCTCAGCGTCCCCTCCCTAACCTGAGGGGGTGGGTCCCATTCCTGCCCCCTTGCAGACTGGGGTGAGGCATATGGGAGACGATCAGGTGTCAGACCCCAATCACCTGCAAGGAGCAGAACCCCTGCCCCTGCCTTGCGCCGGGCAGAGGCAGCCGGGGCTCCAGGCGGCTCCGGGCAATTCTGACCCAAGTCCCAGGGAATCCAGTCAAAGTGGCAATTTTTTGTCCTACCGTCTGTTCCCCACGATGCTGGCTAGAGTCTGCGAGACTCTAGCAGGAAGTGGCCTTGGATTTGGCCATGGGTATGTGCCCAGTTATTTCAGGTTTAAGGAGCTGATCTGTCCTGGGGTTTTCCCGGGGGGGCCCTAGCAGCTGACCCACCCAGCACCTGGTGTGGGTGCATCTGGGAGCCTTGCTCTGTGCGTGTGCGCGTGTGTGCGTGTGTGCGCTCACACGCGCAGGGCCATGGACAGACCGGCAGCCCTTGGGCCTCACCGTCGCTCCCACAGGTTCTTCGAGGACCTGGAGAAGCGGCATAGGGCGCAGGTGTGCGTGGAGGACGTCAGTGACATCCTGGAGGAGCACGCCGAGCGGCACTTCCACCCCTACGTCTCCTACTGCTCCAACGAGGTCTACCAGCAGCGCGCCCTGCAGCAGCTGACGTGAGCCGGCCCCGGGCCCGGGACGGGGCCGGCAGGGGGTGGGTGGGTGGCCTCGGGAGGCTCCGGCCCCTTGCCGCGGGGCATGTTGCTGCTCGCAGCCCGGCTTCTGCAGCTTCCGCCCGATTTCTCCTGATGGACTGGCCTCGCCTCCCGCTGCAGCTGAGAACCCCTTTCTCTGTTGCAGAAGCAGCAGCGCTGCCTTCCGAGAGGCCCTGAGGGAGATCGAGCAACGGCCCGCGTGCGGGGGTCTGCCCATGATCTCCTTCCTGATCCTGCCCATGCAGAGGGTGACCCGGCTGCCCCTCCTGACGGACGTGAGTGCACAGGGAGGTGGCCCGGGGTCCATCTGCAGGCGGAGAGAGCATTGCTCCCTCCTGACCTCCCCCCGCTCCATCTGTTGTGTATGGTTATGAGGACAATTACAGGACGGCTTTAACGGCCACAGTGACCATGGCCGCTGTGAGCAGCGCCGCCCGTGGAGCTCCCTCTGCCGGGAGCTGCTCCAGCACTTGCTGGGTTTTGTTCATCTGCTTGATGGTTACGGGGTTCGTTCGTGTCCTGAGTCTGATCTGGTGTCGCCCAGACCCCTGCCGAGCATCAGTCAGGGTTGCTGCTTTCCCCTACCCTCGGCCAGTTGTCCTGGGCGTGGGCCTGGGGTGACGCAGGCACCGTCACCGTCCCCGTTTTGTGGACAGAGGAGCTCCGAGGGGCTTCCTGGAGTGGCTTGTGCTCTGAGATGCCAGCTCATGGGGCAGCGGGCCTTGTGGGGTGAAAGGTACACGTACACACACGTGCACACAAGAGCCCGCACGTGGCAGGAGCCCAGCTGAGCTCTGAGAGGCAGCATGTGGCCCGTGCAGAGAGGGTCAGCATCCCAGGCAGACAGGATATCAGACCCTCCGGGCCCTCGGGGAAGTGGAGAAATAGAGGCTTCAGGGGTCTCCCAGGCTGGAGCACCACAGCCAAGAACTGAAGGGGTGGGGCCTGGGTGCCCCCCGGGGTCTGGCGTTGGTAGGGGAGCCCCTGCCCCAGGCAGGCCCCTGAGCCGGGGTGCAGAAGGCTGCATGTGGCTTCTCACGTCTGGTCTCTTCCTGCAGACACTCTGCCTCAAGACTCAGGGCCACCCCGAGAGATACAAGGCCGCCAGCCGTGCACTCAAGGCCATCAGCAAGGTGAGGGGTCCAGGGTAGGGGAGGCGGCGCCCAGCCCCAGCCCAGCCCCGAGCTCTGTCCCCACGCCCACCCGTTGGCAGAGACCCTGAAGGCGGGGCAGAGAGGGTCTCCAGACGGTCCCTCGCAAGCTCCTCATGGTGCCGGTGGGGAAACTGAGGCCCAGAGAGAGGGCCGCTCACACAGTCGCTGAGCCCGGGGCGGGGCAGGGACCAGGACAGCCGTGAGGGCCGCTGCCACGGGGGGCCAGGCTAGGCTGGACGGGGCGGGCGCGGGGTCTGGCGCCAGGCTGTGGGCCGGCCCTCAGCACTTGCTCTCACGTGTGCGCCCTGTAGCTGGTGAAGCAGTGCAACGAGGGGGCCCACCGGATGGAGCGCATGGAGCAGATGTACACGCTGCACACACAACTGGACTTCAGTAAGGTCAAGGTAGGCGGGCCCCACCGGCCCCTGACCTGTCCCCAGGCCCGGCTCTGTGTGCGGTCAGGGGTCACCGCCCCCCAGTGTGCAGGCTGGAGGGAGGCCTCTGGGGGTGACCCCCTGCCCCCCGCCGGTGAAGCCCAGGGCTGGGCCTCCGCCTCGACCTCTCCAGGCCTCTTCCCACCTGAGAGCGTGCTCCTTGGCCTCAGGTCTCAGCTCCACCGCCCCCTTGCCTGCGGTGGGTCTGCAGCGGCAGGGGGCAGGCCACGGGGCCGGTGACGGGGAGCCAGTGGCAGGCCCAGTGGCAGGGCTCAGCCTGGGCCCAGGCTCCTCGTCAGCTGTGCTGGGAGCGGGGGCTGGACGACCTCAGGGCCAGCTCAGGCTTCCTGCTGGGGCCAGGATGGGTCTGTTGGTCCTGGGGGCGGGGGTCTAGGCAGCCTACAACTCCACCCAAGCAAGCAGAGCTCAGACCTCTGACCTCTGCCCACACGGCTCCCCACCATCCCACAGACTAGCCCATCCTTGTGCCGTCCAGGGGCTGCCCCAGCAGCAACTCGGGCCGTCCGGCGAAGTGGGAGCTGCTCTCTGGAATCGGGGCCTGGAGGCAGCCTCTGCCCCACCCCACCACCCTGGCTCTCCCCTCCCCCCACGGCCTGGCTGCAGCAGAGCCCTGTGGGCGTGCGGGTGGGCAGGAGACTCGGGGACCGAGGGTCCCCGGGGCAGCTCTGTGGGCCCGGCCCCAGCTTATCATCGATCAGGCTGAGCTGCTGACCTCTAGCCCCCCGAGACGGCCCGGCAGGCCGGAGCCGATGGGAACCAGTGCCGTGGGCGGAGGGCACAGAGGCTCCGACAAGGGCCACAGGCTCCTTGGGGTGAGTCAGGGTGGCTTCACAGAGGAGGCGTTTGGGTGATGACGGCCACGGACCCACTGAGCCCACACCCTTGGCCGGGGTCTTGAGCCTCTCCTCAGCCGGGCAACAGATGTCACGTTTGGGGTGAAATACGCCCCCGACCAGAGCAAAGACCCAACCCTGGGCCTGGCTGACCCCTGAGCGGGCCTCTCACCCCTCTACCCCCACGTCTCGAAACTGGAGGGCATGAAGGCAGGAGAGCAGCTGGGCCAGGTGGGGGTGCGGGGGCTCAGAGCCCCAGGAGGGGTGAGGTGTCCGGTGGGGCGTGTCAGGGGGGCAGAGGCTGGTGGGCAGGGCCTCCTGGCTCCGTCCCCACCAAGCCTGCCCTGCCTGCCCCTCCCCTTCCGGCTTGACAGGCCAGCGCGCCAGCCTTGCTGGCGGAAGGCTGTCTGAGCACCGGCCATGGCGACATGGGACCCATGTGGCGGAGGCAGGGGTGTCTGCCTTAGCCGGGCCTGTTCTCTGGGCCGCGGAAGGGGAGGGAGCTCCGTTTGCAGCAAAGGCCCCTGGATGCCAGAGGTGGCCCCGCAGATCAGGGGTTCCTCACAGCCTGCGTAGAAGCAGCCGATCCGAGCCCCCTGCTTGGTGTGAGGTGGGCCAGGAGGCTTCCCCAGAGCAGCCTTCGTCCCCTGGTTTGAGGGGAGCCCTCGGTAGGTGCCCTGTGGGCCCCTGGGCCTGGCTGGAAGCAGGGCAGGCCTGTCCTAGGTTGCTGCGCAAGGTCTGGGCCTGGGCCAGGCACAGAGCAGCCGCCCCCTGAGCTCCCGTCCGCGGCCTGAACAGCCCTTTGTCTGAGGCCTGGACAGTCACACTCCCTTCCTCGGTGCAGCCCAGGGAGGCCTGGTCACCCCGTTCCCAGAGGCAGGACTCAGTCCCCATGGCTGCACATCCCTGCCACCCGCCCCGGGACTCACCCCTGTCCCCGCTCTGCCCCCAGTCCCTCCCGCTGATCTCTGCTTCCCGCTGGCTGCTGAAGCGCGGGGAGCTCTTCGTGGTGGAAGAAACCGGGCTTTTCCGAAAACTCTCTAGCCGACCGACATGCTACCTGTTCCTGTTCAACGACGTCCTCGTGGTCACCAAGAAGAAGAGGTGGGCCCCGCCCGTGGTCGCCAGGCTGCATGGCCTTGCGACGGGGAGCAGGCAGCAGCCGTGGCCTTGGAGCCGGGGAGGTGGGCTGGGGCCAGCTCTCGAGAGCATCCTTCCGGCTGGCTGGCCCTCGGGCTGCCCACAGACCTCTGCAGCATCTGGCCGACCGCCTGTCTCCCTACAGTGAGGACAGCTTCGTGGTCCAGGACTACGCCCAGCTGGACCACATCCAGGTCCAGAAGATGGAGCCCTCGGAGGCCTCTCTGCCGGGGGGCGGCAACCGCAGCTCCTTCGTACCACACGCCTTCCAGCTGACCCTGCTGCACAACAGTGAGGGCCGCCAGGAGAAGATCCTGCTATCCTCCGACTCAGTGTAAGATGGGAGGGCTCCGCGGGGGCGGGATGCCTAATCCAGGGTTCCGGGAGGGCCTAGTCCTCAAGCAGTTCACACTCCCGGGAGGCGGACACGCCAGCTGCAAAGTGCGCGGCTGAACTGTCCTGTGTGTCCGAGGGGAGAGGACTAAGGAGAAACAAGGCAGGGGAGGGAGCACTGGGTGGGGGCCCTGGGGAGGGGCCTGCGGAAGAGGCACGGCAGTGCAAAGACCGTGAGGCAGGAGGCCCCTGCCAGGAGGACAGTGGGGCTGGAGCACAGGGTGGGGGCCATGCAGGGCAGTGAGGGCAGACGGTGGGGGGACCAGCGCACAGAAAGGTGCTGGCTGGGTCTCCACGCTTCCTCCAGCACGGCCCCCTTTCCAGGTGGGAAGCTGAGGCTGAGCGCTGCTAACAGCAAACTGACGGGGCAGGGCGCTTGGGGTCCAGCGCCAGGAAGCAGGGCAGCCTGGGCCCTGTGGGTGCAGCCGCTGCCCGACTCCATGTCCCTGGCCAGATGTGACTCGGGGTCAGCCTGCCTGGGGGAGGCCTGCCTGCCGCTCCTTCCCGAGCCTGTGACTTCCTGCGCCTCGGCCCCCAGCACAATGGGTCAGGGAGACCAGAGGGGCCACCCACTTACACCTCCAGCTCCCAGCCGGCTCACCAAAGTGTGCCTGGGCAGTGTAATCCTTCATCCCACTGCCTTCCCACCTCGAAGGCTGTGGGGGGCTCAGGGACACCCCGACCCTCCCACCATGCCACACTGGGTGGGGAGTGTGAAGCAAAGGTTGTCAGCTGGTAGGATCGGCCTCAGGCCTCGCTCATGTGCGCTCTGCCCCCAGGAGTGACCGCGCGCGGTGGATCACAGCACTCACGCGCTGGGAGAGGCAGCAGCCAGACCCCACTAACAAAGGAGGTAAGCGCCTGACCCCCCCCCCCGAACGCAGCAGGGCTCACAAGCCCTTCCCGGCCCTGGGGTGGGGGGTGGGCCTGAAGGGAAGAAGTGCTGTCCAGCCCTCTGTCCACCCCACAGCCTGCCCCCAGGGTGACCTGCCAGGTAAGGGGCCCCAGCCCCAGGTACGTGTGTGTCCATCTGCACACACAGGCCCAGCGCTGTCTCAGGGCCTCATCCTCCCTGCTGCTCAGTAGCTGGGGAAACTGAGGCCAAGGAGCTGGAGTGGGCTGGCCTGGAGAGCTGTCACCCGGCTCGGGCCCTACCTGGCCCCTTAGAAGCTGGGTGTACCCTCTGCTGGTGCTGGGCCTTTGGGCCCTGAAAGTGGGAGCAGCAGGTCCTGCAGCCTCTGGAGGGGTCCCAGCTTTAGCCGGAGGGAAGCTGCCACGTGACCGTGTGCTGGGACACCTGGGGGCCCCTGGGCCCCACCGAGACCAAGCCACAGGGGGTGTGTTGGGACTGGAGCCCACCCCCTCCCTGGAATAGTCCTGCTCCTGAGGCCTGCCCTCCCTGCCAGACCTGCTCCAGGTGGAGATCACCAAGGCCTACTTGGCCAAGCAGGCGGACGAGATCACACTGCAGCAGGCAGATGTGGTCCTGGTCCTGGAGCAAGAGGACGGTGAGCACAGGGGATGGGCCTGGGGGATGCACGTGGGGCAGGTGGGAGGGGCCGGGCAGGCTAGTGTTGCGTGAGAGCCTGGGGGCCCCAGCAAGGGTCCAGAGCACACTGGCATGGGCAGCTGCCCTGAGTGCCCCCACCCCGGAAGTAGGCATGTACTCACAGTGGGCCTGATTCCAGGGCCCCCTTCAGTACCCTCCCTCAAGGACGTCTCAAATGTCCCCGAGTTGCAGGATCAGAAGTGGGTTCTTGGTCACTCTGTATCCTAAGCGGGAGGGTGGCCCCTGCAAGTACCTGCACAGGACAGACCAAGCTGGTTGGAGTGAGCTCAGCCCCTGAGCCCAGTGTTGGGGCCGAGCACCTGATGGAAGACCAGGTGCCCACGTGACCTTGGGCAAGACGGGGAGGGGGGTCTGCTCCAAGGGATGCCTGGCCCTGGCATCTTCTGGAACAGCAGCTCCGAGGGGGAGCCGACACAGGGGCCCCTGCCTGGTGCCCAGGAGCCTGCTCTCACCTGCCCCGGGTCTGGGTCCAGGATGGTTCTATGGCGAGAGGCTGCGGGATGGAGAGACGGGCTGGTTCCCTGAGGACTTAGCCCGGAGCATCACCAGCCGCGTGGCCGTGGAGGGCAACATGCGCAGGATGGAGCGGCTGCGGGTGGAGACGGACGTGTAGCCGGATCTGCCGGCACCTCGCCAGGCCAGACTGCGGCCGTGCAGCTTTGGTCCACACTCCAGCAAGTGGAGTCCATCCCCAGGGAGCGCAGTGGGCTTGCTCCCAGGGCCTGAAAGCTCCCTGGCCTCCCAAGGCCCCATGGGCTGCAGCGCAGGCTCCGGACATTTCCAAGGAGGAAGGCCATACACCCTCAGGAGGGGCATCCTCCTGGCAAGCTCAGGAGCCGTGCCAGCCCTGACCCCAGGCTGCGTCCCTGGGAGGAGCCCAGCCAGGCCTGCTTGCTGGCCACGCCGTCCCCCAGCTCCTGGCTGCCCCGCCCAGCTCCCTGTGCACCCACAGGGCAGTTATGCCATGGGCGAGTGATCGAGGCGGATGGCCCTGAGAAGAGCATGGGTGACCTGGAGGGCTCGCCCTCCTGCACCCCTCCTGCCCCATGTTCCCAGAGGAGGGCCAGCTGCCGGCAGGTGACCCTGCAGAGCCAGCACTGGAATTGTGGCTTTGAGACATTAAAGTACTTCTTTAACACCTGGATTTGCACATTTGTGAGCCCCAGTGAAGGCCATACCAGTCCCTGAGAAATTCCCAACGTGCTGTGGGTGGGACTGGTCCCCCCTTCTGTGTGGTCACCTGTGCTGGGCCCCCATTCATGGTCACCCTGTGTTAGTCCTTGCGCCTGCCTCATCTGTCCACCTGGAGCGTCATGGGCAAGCCCATCCCCATGAAGTCCCTTGAGGCTGAGCCTGGCCGGTGGGGCTGAGGGACTCGGGGACATGGCAGAGGCTGTGGGAACCCCTCTGCAGTGTCCTCTCATCCCTCACCTCCCAGCTGGTCTGCTCCCCGAGGATCCCCTGGGACACGCAGGTGGGGAGAGACAGGCTGGCCTGGCCTCTGAGCTGGGGAAGAAGGGTCTTGCTTCCCAGGAGATGGTGATGGCCACCTGGGTGGCAGGGCGCTGCTGGGCCAGGTGCGAGGAGGACGGGTCTGCTCCCCCAGGAACCCCCTGCTAGCCCTCCCAATTCCCACGCCCATGCCCGTTGCCCTTCTCGCTCAGGCAGTGCTGTCCTTGGGGTGGGGCTCCCAGCGTTCTCCTGACAATTTGCTGGGGCCCTGTCTTCCTTTGAAAGCTGGGGTGTGGATCCCCACCCGCTGACCAGAATTGGGTGACTCGGGGAGCCCAGCCCTCTGTCCCTTCCATCCCTGGGGCTGGCTGCAAGAGGAAGTGGAAGAGTGCGCCGGGCCAGGGGGAAGGGACTGGGTGGGGGTGGAGCTTATCCCAGCCCCACCCACTGAACCAGGTGGTGGAGGGGTTCAGCACCAGAAGGGAGGGGCAGCTCCTCCCTTTAACGTCCAAGGTGACCTCCATGGCCTGGGGCAGCTGGAAGGAACATCCTGGGCGTGTGCTCTGCAGGGTGGGGGGATGGCGCGGGGCCAGGCTCAGTGAAAGAGGCATGATCTGGGGGGTGGGGTCACCAGAGAGCAGGCCCAGCCTCCTCCTACTTCCTGGACAGGTGGAAATCTGGGGCCTGCATTTTCCCACCTGTGAGCTAAGTCCTGCTCTTTTCCTGGAGCTGCTGTGGGGCAAGCTAGTGACCAGGGTGAGGGGCAGGTGTGTGTTTGGTGTGTGTGTGTGCACGTGTGTGCGTGCCCTGGGCAGGAGCAGGTGGGCAGCATCGGTGTGTAAGCCCAGCTGCCTGCAGCCGGCCTATTCCTTCTCACCACTGACCCCTGACTCTCGGGGAGGGCAGGCCAGCCCACCGCCCTTCGGTTGCCAGGTACGTTTTCAGTTAATTGGAAAAGCCCTGGGTCACGTCCTTGCTCTAGTGACCTGGGGTCAGCGACCTCAGCTCAGTTTCCTTCTGCAAAGTGGATGCAGGCCCTCTACCTCGGAGGCAGAGATTAAGAATGCTTAGCCTGGAGGAAGGACATCCCGGGACCCTGGGGAAGGGCTGTCACTGGAGACGGGGCTGCTGGTGGCTGGGTCCACCTGGGGAGGCCCAGACCAGGCCAGCTCGGAACAAAAACCCTCCCAGCAGAATCAGGAAGCACAGGGCCCCAGCTGCGGTGAGGCCTGGAGGGGCCTAGAAGGGTGGGTTGCGGGCAGTGAGAGGAAAGCCCAGGCTCCCCCCAGCACCTGTGCCTGCTGGGGCCCCTCCGAGGGGCCTCTCTGCTCAGCTTGGGGTCCAGCCCTGCGGGCCCTGGTGTCATGATCCCATCATCATGACCCCCTCCCAGGGCAGGGCCAGCCGGGACCCTCCCCACCCCCAGCTGGAGGGTGCTCGGACCTGCCTCCTTGCCGAGCTGCTCCTCTTAGGACCACAGACATCCTTGGTGTTGGTGCCTAGTGACACTCCCCCCTCCAGATAACAGGGGGTCCCATGGAGGAGCCTGTCACACCTGCTCCCCTGTGGAGGGGGCGACACCAGGAATGGACCTAGCCCGGCCCCTCCTGTTACAAAGTGGGGAGATAGAGGCCCAAGGGCCCTCTGCCTACTGGTGGGGTCAGCGGGTTTGCGGGGGGGCCACTGAGGCTTCCTAGGACCCCAGCCGACTCCAGCAAAGCCTACATCTAGATGGGGTCCAGTGGGAACGACACTGGGGCCCTTCCACAGGGGCCTCTCGCCTCGGGGCACCAGGGTGGATATGACTGTGGAGCAGTGAGGAGTGGGGGCTTGCACCCCTTCCCCAGAGCTGCCTGGGCACCTCAGTGCCCAGCCCCGAGGGGCAGTGGGCACCCTCCGCCCTCCCTGGAGAGGTGGGAGCACAAGGGGTGGCTCGCGGGAGCGCAGAGGCCAGGGGTAGGCGGTCACACAGCTGGACGGCCCCCCAGCCCTCTGTAGGGGGAGCATCAGGGGCCGAGCTGAGCTCATCACCCCAGGGCCTGGAGGCCCCCCTCCCATGTGCTGCATGTCCTTGTAAATCAGTTTCCCCTCTATGGAGCGGGGGACATAATTTACATAAAGGGCGCATGTTCCCATGACCTCGTTCTCACCGCACTCAACATGAGTTTTAGGATCTCTCTGCACATCTGGCTGCTCCCAACCACTAGGGAACATCCCTGACGGGTCCCTCCTGCTGGGAGACCCCCCCCTCCAACCCGGCCCCGGCTGCCCTCTATCGCCCCTGGTGGCCGGCACAGGCACTGCGGCCCAGCCCTCGGCCTACACTGCAACCAAAGACCCCCAGGCCCCTGAGACCCAACGGTGCCTGGTGGACCCCAATTCCCAGGCCTCACGTAGAGCCCTTGGACCGCCGTTTCTGCCCCTTGGGAGCAACGATGTGCACCAGTGTTTGTACGTGCAGATCCCACCTCTCCACCCACACCCCTGCGAGCCCTTGGGTTTCGGTGAACCCCACTCACCTCCTCCCGGCTCTCTGTTGTCAGCATTCCTGACATTGGGCCCCAAACCGCGCCCCCCCCCAGTTGTCACCCATCTACCCCGTCACTGGAACCAAGTCCGTTTGAGGGCTGGCCGGGGCCGGCATCCTCACTTTCTGGCCCTTAAGATCTGAACTGTGAAGGGCTTCACCCATCTTCTCGCGATATAAATTCCGGTATTTCCGGGGTTTGTTGCCACGTTGAACAGGATCTTATTCTGTATTCTGTTTTCTAGTGGGTCATTGGCAGTATTTTAGAACTACAGATTTTTATAGGTTTTATACATTTCCTATCATCGATATGATTTTATGGCCCACTTTGCCAGATTCTTATGATCGTGCTAATCTGTCTCTGGCCCTCTCAGCTTTCCTAAAGCGACAGGCTGGTCTGTCCCTTCCCCGCAGGTCTGAACACCTCTCACTTCTTTTGCTCACCTGATGGTATGGCCTGGGGTCCTCCAAGCTCTGCTGGGGTCAGGAGGAGTGAGTGACGATCTGATTCTCCATCTTTAAGGGAATTTGTTCATTCTTCCCACGAAGTTTACAGGGCCCAACCCAGGTCCTGTCCAGGTGGCCCAGCATGACGCAAGCCGAGCCCATGCCCCCAGTTCTACTGTGGAAGGACGGCCAGAAATACAGGCTGTCACATCAGGGCTGAGGATACCAGCAACGCGGGGGCGGGGAGGCAGGAGCCCAGGTGGGGGGGGCGAGGAGGCCTGGGCCACTTGCTGGAATCCATCACTTTCCCCGCTCAACTAGTACATTCTTAGCACATGACCATTGCCAAGAAAGCGCCTTTCTGTACCCAGTTTCCCAAGAACTTACATCCGAAAGAGAGCTGAACTTTATCGAATGCTGTTTCTACTTCTAGCAAGACCATCGTGATTTTTCATGTCACCCAAACACATGGACACATTTTCTGATGTTAAACTGTCCTCTCATTTTAATCAGGTCCAAGTCCCATTGGATCAAGTGGGTTTTTTCTAAATATTTTTGAGACGCCGGCATATTTTACTCAGGCTTTCTGCATACATGTTGTGAGTCTGTAATTTTCTTTTCTCGTACTGCCCTCACCTGGTTGTAGAACCCAGTTGGGACTGGCCTCCTGAAATGAGTCGCGTTTCCTCTATTTAATGTTTCTGGAACATCTCACATCAGACAAGTTCCTGTGTCTTGGAAGTCTGGCCCAGCCCCCTTTACCAACACCTGTCCCAGGTGTTCCTGGTGACAGAGGGGGAGGTGGAGCTGTGACTACTGTTTGCATTTACTTGTTACTAGTTTATTCACATTTTTAATTTCTACTTACACTGATCCTGGCATTTTATACTTTCCCAAAACATATCCATCTTTCTAAGTGTTCAAAGTTACTAGTACATAGCTGTTCCTAATACTCTCTTTTATGTCTTATTCTCTGTGTCTGTAGTTAACCCTCCCATCTTCTGTATTTTTTTTTTCTTGCTTCATGTTTAAAAAAATCATCAATCTTGTTAGAATATTCTTCTTTATTACTCTTCAAAGACGGAATTTTAGGTTTGTTAAATGTTCCGTTATTCTCCATGTGTGAAGTTCATAGACTTAAACATAAATGTGTACATATGTGAATAGAAATAAATGAATATAGGCATAGGTATACACAGCGTGTGTGTAAAGATGATTAAAGCGTTATCATTGCTGTGTCTTGCTTTTGTATTGGCTTTTCTATTAAAATCACCAGTTTAATCATTTCCTCCTGTTACACCCACCACAGCTTTACGAATCTGAGCCTCGACTGCTGATGCATGTATGTGTGTATATTTACATACAGGCACATACGATGCTTTTCACCCTGAAATAACAAAACTCACGGCCCGGCTTTCTTTCTGTTTACTTTGTACGCTTATACTTCTGTCCTTCCAGGTATGTCTTTCGTAAACAAAATGCTGTGGAAGCATGTTTAATGCAGCCTAGGGATCTGATTTTTGATCATCTGTAACAACTTCAATCAGGCTTTAATCTGCTTCCTTATTCTGCTTGACTCTTCCTTCCTTCCTGCCTTCCACTGGAGAGGTGAAATTCCCTCCCATCTGAAAGTTAAACATCCTGCCAGCATTTTTGCAGAGGTCACGGTTTCTTATTCAGCTCCAACTGCACTAGAGTTTCGCTTCCTTTTATCAGTGTCTTTCTCTTCCCCACCTGCCTCAGCTCCCACCTCACCTGGCTTCCGCTGTGATTGCTGTAATTCTCTTAATCACTAGGTCATATGGGAAATGCAGTGACTACCTCACACTTTCCCTTCTTGCTGGGAAACTTCTCTGAGTGTATTTTCACGTCTGGTTCTCGCGCAGTGCCCACCGAGACCCTGGACACCTGAGAATAAACATCCACTTTGCTTCTCAGTGACAGTTTAGCAGGACACATGATTCAAGGCCGTGAAATTCAAATTTCGACATCTCCTCTTCAACGTTTTGAAATCAACATCACCATCTTCTCGCTTTCAGTGTTTCTGCTGTGGAGTCAGATGTCACTCTTGACTCCTGTTTATTTTTTCTGGGCATTGTAGCATTTCTCCTTGCCACTACTATTCTTTAAGTTCTTTGGACAAGGGCTTTTTTATTTTGTTTTATTCCATCTGAGACCATCCAGCTTTGGACCTGAGAACTTGCTGCTTTGTGTCAATGGGTTTTACCTTCTTTTTCTAGGACTTCAGACACACGGGCGTTAACACTTCCCTTGCCCATTTCTACCGATCTTTCCTTTGTATCTTCTCTCTCTCAGCCTCCATGCTGCCTCCTGGGAGTGTCCTGAGCTGGAGAACCCACTATTCAGCCTGATTCCTGCCACCCTCCCTCCGACTGCAGCGCCCACACGCTCCCGCTCAGTCCTGCCCCTGGTCCTTCTTGGCCTCTGCTTCTTCCCGCATCACGTTACCACCACCATCCCCAACCCCTTCCAGGTATGGATTATATTCATGTACCTCAGAGTCTTAACACGGTGGCCCATTAATTCGGTTTCCTCTGCTACTGGCTGTTCACTAGTTGTCTAAGGGGACAGGGCTTTCTAGAACCCACCCTATTTTGCCCCATGAGATCCTTCGCCCTTAGAGGCATCAGCTACCTGGGCTGGTGCTGGAGGGGAGGGGGAGGGGGCTACAGCCCAGACCGAGGTGTCCAGCGTGACAATCTGGGTCCAGCCCTCTCCATTGGCCTTACCCTGAAGATAGGGCCAGGGTAGGAGTAGGGGGGCACCCAGGATGCCCCCAACAGCACCCCTTCCCTCCTCCCCTCGGGGCCATGCTTCCCCCACGCAGGCTCTAGGACTCAGCGCTTCCTCGGTCTCGGGGCACCACGCCCCTCTAGAGCACCGGGAACTGGGATAAACCCCGACTTTGCTTGTGTGGCTCCCCTGTCCCCAGAGGGGCACAGGGGCCAAACGGGCCTCTCCGGTCAGGCGCATTCATGGCGGCAGGCCCAGGAGGCCGCCCCGCGGGCCCCACACGAAGCAGTGAACACACAGGCCTTGAGGAAGTGGCTGCTCCTTTCTTAACTTACTGGGTTTCACATGGTACCGAAGCGCCCACCCAGAGGCCCCTCAGGGTCCCGCAGTCCTGAGTCAGGGCTTCCCGGGCTGGGCAGGAGGCGGGCAGCCCTCCAGCGCCCAGGGGTGCAGTGGGCATGTCTGGCTGCCCATAAATACCTTTCCATAAATACGGCCCAGCTGTTTCCAGGTAAACAGGCTGAGCTGCAGCAGTCCCCGGGCCTAGCACCAGAAGAACCTGCTCCGAGGGCAGGGGCCCCACGCCCGCACCTGCACCCACACCTGCCCGCAGTCCCGCCCCAGGGCGCCGGCTGGGGGCTTCCTCCACACTGTGGCCCCGCGCCGGTGCCCCGGTGCTGCAGAGCGCGGCCGGGCAGGGCCTCCCTCCTCGTGGCCAGACGATCCTTGCAGCTGCACGACTGTCGGAGACAAGGGTGGGGCAGGAGTCCCGGCCCCCGGCGTCCCTCCTCAGTGGTCACCAAGGCCCCTGGGTCCTCTCAGCGGCCCCTGGGAGACAGGCCTCGGCGGGCGCTGCCCCTGAGCTACTGCTTCTCTGCGCTGCTGCTGCTGAGCCCGGGGCGGTGGGAGGCTGACTGTGAAGCCACTGAAGGGGCAGGAGACGAGCAGGTCACCCCGGGGCAGGTGCAGACTCTCCACGTTTTCAGAGCTCTGGGCTCAGGACTCCCCTCCTGTCCTTCCAGCCCCAGCCCGACAGAGGGGGGCAGCCCAGCCGCTCGTCCCCAGCTGCCCCCGACGCCTCATTTCTGCGGTCCAGATTCTGGAATGCCCGCCACCCAGCGGGGCCCAGATCACACGCAAGTGCCCGATTCTCACCCCTCCTCTGGCCTCAGTCTGCTGGTAACGAACACGCGATGCCACCAAATGCCACCCTCCTGGCAAAGTGGGGATGCCCCCGGCCCCCTTACCTGGGCCCAGGGCTGTGGATGGGGTCTCGGGGAACTGGGAGGGCCCACCTGAAGGCAGACAGACACGCTACTGCCCCACCCTTTGGTGGGCAACAGAAACGGGGCAGCAAGGCCTGCAGGGACCCCCACTCCCACCCTGCAGGGCCTCTCCCCACCTCAATCCTATGCAAATGATGGGGCTCTCCCGCTCCCCAAAGGCAAGTCCCCAGCCCTGCCTGCTGGAAGAGGGGCCGGGAGGTGGGACTTCAGGCTGGATGCGGAGGGACTAAGCAGGGTCCACTCCAGGACAGAGGGCAGCGAGGCCCTGCCTGTCCTCCTTCCCAGCAGGGCTCTGCTCAAGCAGACGGGGCCTCAGGCAGGTGAACCCCCAGCTCCTGACCCTCGCTGAAGGTCAAGGCCGCCCAGGACGCCTGCGGCGCAGTACCACACCTCACCACCAGGTGCCGCCATGGACAGCGTTCATCCCAGCACCAGCCCCCCAGGTTCTGCCTCCACCTGCCCCACCCCACCCCTCTGCAGGAGGTGGGATCCCTCCCCTAAAGGTGCTTAACAGTTTGTGGCCAGGGCTGCCTCGACGAGGCTCAAAAAGATGCACACACAATATGAAGACCATGTCTGGGGTCCCCAAGCCAAGGAGCCCAGACTGGAATCCCCGCTCACAGCCTGGCTCCCCCTTCACCCCATCTCAGGGACTGCCCGGCACAGGCCCCAAGCCAGCCTCTGGTCTCGCTTGGCAGACACGACCTCTTGGTGCTGCCTCTTCCCAGGAGCAGGCTGGGCCTGGGGGAGGTGACCAGGACACCAGAGGAGCACAGCTGGCCGGAGGGGCAGGGCACCCCGAGCTCTGCCTGCAGACAGCACAGTCCCCCAGAGGCTTAGGGGGCTGAGAGGCCACGGTGCCATCACGGCACCTTCCCCGACCCTGCCCGTGGGTGCAAACAGGAACACGAATGCACTGGAGCACAGGCATGCCGTGAAGCACACGTGCGCATGGGAGCACACACAGGCACTGGCACGCACACACTGGGACACACGCAGGTGCTAGCGTGCACAGATGGGAGCACACGCCTGTGCTACTGCACACACATGCACGGGCGCACCGTCGTGCCCTGGTTCACACACACACAGGGCGAGGAAGGGGTGGGGCGGTGGGCTGTGTCTGCGCCCACCCACGCTGGATCACCCAGCCCTGCCCGTGGGGTCTCCGCCCTCTGCAGTTTGAGCCCATCCCAGCCGCTGTCTGGGCCTGGAGTCAGCAGGGCACTGCCGGCTGGCCCACGGCCGAGTCCGGCCCCGTGGTCCAAGGGCTGGAAGGTTCACACTTGGCCCGTCAGAGGCCTGCAGATACCACGGGCGCCGCGCTGGGCTGGTGACCTTTGGCCCAGCCAGCAGAGTCGTCCCTCTCTCCCCCGAGCCTGACTCACCCTGCTGGCACATGGGCCCCACGTAGCCGTCCACGCAGTGGCACTGCCCACTGACAGCGTCGCAGTCAGCCCCACCCCCGCAGGAGCAGCGCAAGGCACAGCCTGGCCCGAAGAAGCCGCTTCTGCAGCCTGAGGGCACAAGACACGGGAGAGACGGGCCTGAGTGCTGCTCCCGTCTGCCTGCGGCCGGGACCCCAGGCTTCGGGCCACCCCGTGGGGGATGTGCGGGAGCAAGGACCTCGGGCCTCAGCTTCCCTGTCCTGCAGGAGCTCTCACATGGGAAAGCGCAGGGCACCAGGCACCGGCCCAGGATCACTGCCCCGCCTTCCCGCCCAGCCCCCGGCTGGCAAAGGGGAGCTGGCGGTCAGGGATGCTCCCTCCAGGGCAAGACGGCCAAGAGCCACGAGGACGTGTGTGGAGCCCCCAGGGCCGGCGCCTCCTCCCGGGCATGTCTGGGAGGCTGGCACGTTTCCTTCCCACCTAACTGGGCCCACGCCCAAGGGAGAGGCTAACCAGGGACTCAGGTGGGGACCAGAGGGCGGGACTGGCCTTGACAACCCGAGCAGGAGCTCCGTGCTGGGGGCCCTGCAGAGGGAGGGGTTGGGCACGGTGCCCAGGCCACACGTGGCACAGGTGGGGCTCCTTCAACACGGTCAACAACAATGACAGGGACCCACGCCCATGGCCCCCACCAAGCAGGACCCCAGACTCACCCAGGTCACAGGTGGCCCCCATGAGCCCCGGGGGGCATAGGCAGTGGCCGGTGACGGGGTCGCAGGGCACCCCATCCTCGCAGTCACACTGCTGGTTGCAGCCTTCTCCAAATGAGCCCGACTCACACCCTGGTGGGGGCAGTGGGCTTAGCATCACCTGTCCCGTACCCGGGGGTGAGGGGCCGGATGGAGAACGTGGGCGCACGGACCACTCACCCTTCTCGCAGAACTGGCCGCGGAAGCCGGCAGGGCAGAGGCACCTGCCACTGACGGGGTCACAGGGGGCGCCGTGCTGACACTCGCACGTCCCCCGGCAGCCAGCCCCGTGGAAGCCAGCGGGACAGGCTGAGGGAGACCCGGGTTGGAGCTCCTGACTCAGTTTGCCCAGAGTGAGCAAAGGACCGGGTCAGGGGCCCAGCTCCCCTGTCCTCCCACCCAGGCCCGGCCCTGAGCCGGGACCTCTGGCCCGGGAGCCCCACCGAAGCTGGGGTCAGGCCTCATCTCATCGGGCCCCCGCGGGGAGTGACACGGAAAGCGGAGGAGCGGATGCCGGGACAGGGGCCGACCCCACGACTCACGGTGCTCGCAGGCCTGGCCGTAGAAGCCGGGGCCGCAGTGGCAGGCGCCCGACGAGGGCTCACAGGTGCCGTGGTTGCGGCAGGAGCATTCCAGGCGGCAGGCGGCACCATAGCGCCCAGCGGGGCAGGCTGGGGAGGGGGCCGGCGGGTCAGCCTCCTGCCACGGGAGAGCAGGGGGCACGGGGCTGGCCCCTGGGCACTAGCCTGATCCGCGGGAGCCCGGCAGCCTCGCCCGGCCCTACGGCAACCTGCGGCCCCCGCAAACGCCCTCGAGCTATGGCCCCCCTCGGGAGCCTAGGGCCCCCCGCCCTGCCACCACCACACCGGGTACGGCCTCGCTCCCCTGCAGGTACCACCCCTGCAGCTCACACGGCGATGTGGCCCCCAGGCTGCCCCGGACAGACACTCACCCAGCTCGCAGTGCAGCCCGGTCCAGCCCAGGCCGCAGGAGCAGCTGCCGCTGGCGGCGTGGCACAGGCCCCCGTTCCTGCAGGAGCACATGTGCTCACAGTTCACACCAAACCGGTTCTGGGGGCAACCTGGGGACAGTCAGGCACTGCTCAGAGCTCTGGCCCAGGGACGCAACCCCCAGATCTGACAGTCATTCAACAAACACTCCCCGGGCCTCTCAGAACCAGTCCCTGCCCCCCGGGCACACACGTGCCAGGAAACAACACCAACCACATCCTGCCCGTTCATCCATCCTCCACAGATGCCAGGCCTGATCGGCGCTGAGGATAACACAGGACGAGAGGGACCAGGGCCCGCCAGGGGCTGTGAGTGCCTGCCCAGCTGGCGGCAGGGGGTTAGGGAAGTCTTCCTGGAGGTGGTAGCACAGAGGAGGCTGGGCAACCCTGCACTCCAGGTGGCCCCTGTTCACACGCTGATTGACCCATGGCTACCGTCCTCCCCTGCGGGCCTAGGGGAGTGTGACCGGCCCCTTGACGAGGACCAGAGGGCAGCAGGGGGCTCAGACCTACCAGGGTATGGGGCCAGGCCAAGCAGGGCCTTGAGGACTGTGCATGCCATCGTAAGCATGAGCCCCACCACAGTCCCCAGGGACTGCCCCAGCTCCCCACCATGGGCTGGGCTCCAGGCCTCCCTCTCTGTGGGGTCCCTGGCCACTGGGCCCGGTAGAAAGGCCAGAGGGACCCCAACCCAAGAGGACATCAGCCAGAAGGCTGGCTCCGTCCTCAGACAAAACAGCCGCCTGACCCCTCCTGCTGGGGGGGGCTCTGGGTCAGAACGGGTTCATCCCCCACTGGGCACAGGGAACTGGACAGGTCACTTGATGGCCTGAGCCTTGGAGTCACAGATCAAGACAAGGCGTGGGATGCTATCGGATGACCCAATGACCCGAGTGGACGCTGCTGTCAACACAAGCTAGACCCTCACTTATCCTCAGGGCACTTGGGGGATTAATGGTGGGGACCCAGTTCTCCGCCAGTGACCCCAGGGCTTCACCCCATCACCCTCCCCCCGAGGCTGAGGGAGTGATACCCATGAAGTATCCAAGGCAGCAGGGGGAGCAGGCTCTCACCGTGCTCACAGTGGACGCCGGTCCTCCCGGGGGGGCAGGAGCAGGTGCCGGTCACGGGGTCACAAGCCGCCCCCTGCCCACAACTGCACACGTGGGCACAGCGGGGGCCAAAGCGGCCGTGTGGACAGGCTGCCAGGAGGAAATGGGAGGGTGGCCACTCCAGGCAGGATCCCCCCTCTCTCTGCCGTGTCAACCCGGGACAGGGCGGGATGGGCCAGGGAAGGCGGGGTGGGGAGACTCCCTTGTCTGCCCAGATGCGGCGGGGCTGCCTGCTGCCACGCCCCCTGCCTGCTGGCTCTGCTGGGGGCCGGCCTGCGCTGCGTTTCTCGTGACTCACGGCGGCCCCCGCCCACCCTGCCAGCCCAACCAGGATTCCAGATGATTGGAAAGGCCCCACCTGGCTCAGGGAAGGCCATTCTTTCGGCAGCATGCCCAGCTGGCCTCTGCACGGCCCCTGGTGGACATGGCCTGAGCCGGGGGCACAGCACACGGCCAGGCAGAGCTGGCCGGCAGGGATGCTTTGGTCACATGGAACCCCCAGCTTAGCCCAGTCTGCGGCCAGGCCCCGGGGGGCGGGCCCAAGAAGGGGGTGGTCAGGGGCTGTCCTCCCCGCAGGCTGGCTAACCCTAACCACCGAGGCGCAGGGAGGAGCTGCCCCTGCCCTCACCCTGGCCACTCACCGAGGCTGCAGTCCGTTCCGAGGAACCCAGATGGGCAGTGGCAGGCCCCTGTGGCCACGTCACAGGAGCCCCCGTTGAGACACCCACACAGCTGCTCACAGCCGGGCCCGAACCGCCCGGGCGGGCACCCTGCAGGGGGAGGGGCCAGCTGCCAGGGGCCAGGGGGGCTCACAAAGCCCCTGACCTCCCACGTCATCCTTCCCAAGGGCCCAGCGGGCAGCATGGGCACACTCACGTTGCTGGCAGCCGGCACCGTGGTAGCCAGCGGCACACACGCAGGCCCCCGAGGCAGGGTGGCAGGCCTGGTCCTCGCCGGGACACTGACACTTCTGCCCACAGTTCTCCCCAAAGGCACCGGGCGGGCAGGCTGGGGTGAGGAGGCAGGAGGTCAGTGCCGGCCCTGCCTGGAGTGGGCATCCTCCCGGGAGTCGCCTCCCGGAGCCCCTCCTGGGGGTAGAGGTTTGGGGCCCAGCACAGGGGCACACGTGGCCTGAGCCACCCACTGCCCAAGGGCCCGCCCAGGTTGGTCACCTACCCTGCTCACAGCCGGGCCCAGTGAAGCCTGGGGGACAGTGACACTCTCCGGTGATGTGGTGACAGGCAACGCCGGGTGGGCACTGGCAGCGCTGGGCACAGGCCTCTCCAAACCAGCCAGGCGGGCAGGCTGCAGGGAGGCATGGGCCCGGAGGGGTCATCGTGTGAAGGGCCCAGCCCCACCCGGAGCACCAGCGGAGCTGGGGGCTCGCCATTCTCACACCGCAAGCCCCTCAATCCCGGCGGGCAGAGGCACGCCCCGGTGACACGGTGGCAGGCGGCCCCCCGCCGGCAGGCACAGTTCTCCTCTCACAGAGAACCCGAAGGCGCCCTTGGGACAGGCTGCGGGGAAGGAGGCGGGCGGGCTGCTCGGGGCGGCTCCCTGGACAGAGGCGGGGAGGCCCCGGGAGCTCAGCCCACAGCCCTGCCCCCTACCTGCCCGTTGCCCACCCCGGGGAGGCCTCCACACCCTGGCGTGAGCCGAGGCCACACCGGAGGGGCTCTAACCCGCCCCACTCACGGCTCTGGCACTCATCCCCGGTCCAGCCGGCCGGGCAGCGGCAGTGGCCTGTGTGCCGGTCACAGAGGCCGCCGTGGAGGCACCCGCAGACGTGGTGGCAGCCGGCTCCGGAGGACCCCGGGGGGCACTCTGTAGAGGCTGGGGCAGGGGAGGGGACCGGTGAGGGTCCAGCCCCTGGGGCCCAGGACACCCCCGCCCGCCCCTGCTTCCCGCACCCAGAGCCTCGGATCCCGTGTCCTTGGGAAGGAGGGGTGCCCAGTGGGCTGGTGACACTGCAGGCCACACCCCAGGACCCTGACCCCCAACTCCAGGCAGCCACAGGGGGAGGGGGCTGCACCGAGGCACACTGGGGCGCTGGCCCTGGGTTCCAGACCACAGGGTCCCTCCTTCCTCCTCCGCCCGCCTGCCCGGCGCTCACCTTCCTCACAGGCCAGCCCAGCCCAGCCCTCGGGGCAGGTGCAGTGGCCTGAGACAGGGTCACAGGTGCCCCGGTTCTGGCAGAGGCAGGAATGCTGGCAGTCCTTGCCGTAGAGGCCTGCAGGGCAGGCTGGGGACGGAGAGAGAAGTGACCTGCAGCATCCCCGCCAGCCAGGCTGGGGGCCTGAACCCTCGGAGGGCCAGCCCATTGGACCTGAAGGCCCGCCCCAAAGGGCAGGGACCTAGGGCTGCCTCTAGGATGACCTGCTCCAGGGCTCCCTGGGCCCAGCTGCCCAGCCTCCGGGGGCTCAGGACTGAAGGGTATGGTCCTAAGCCTTCCTCCCCTGCCCCGGTGCCCCATGGCGGGGGCATGACCCCCGCCCTCCCTGCCCTCCATTCCCAGTGAGCTGTGTGTCCACCTCGTGCCCGACACGGTGTGACCTTGCACGGCCCAGGGAGGGGCAAGCACGTTGCCTGACCCCAGACTCCTGGGCAGGGCTTACCCTGTAGGCAGGTGGGCCCCATCCAGCCAGGGCCACAGCGACACTGCCCATGGACAGGATCACAGGAGGCCCCATTAAAGCAGGAGCAGGCCTGGCTGCAGTTGTGGCCGTACGTGTGGGCTGGGCAGGCTGCAGGAGAGAGGGGCGGTCAGGGGCCGGAGGGACGGACCCCGGGAGGGGCTGCAGCAGATGGTCCCGGGCTGCTGTGGTCCATCTGCCCCTCCCTCTGGCCTGGGCACCAGTCAGGGTGGCCACAGATAAGGACTGACCCTAACCCTAACGGGCAGCACCCAGGGCTGATGGGGGCCTCACGCACTCTGGGCACAGCGGGGACCCCGGCGGCCAGGAGGGCAGAGGCAGGAGCCGTTTACGGCGTCGCAGGGCACCCCGGTGCTGCAGTCACAGGCGCGGTGGCAGTCCACTCCGAAGAAGCCGGCAGGGCAGGCTGCAGGCAGGGGGCGGTGATGGGAGATGGCCAGGGGTCATGGGTCCCCACCCACACGCCCGGCCACCCCGGCCTGCACCCTGGCTCACCGCGCTCACAGAAGGTTCCCCTCCAGCCGGCCGGGCAGGTGCAGGCCCCACTGACATGGTCACAGGCTGCCCCGTGCTCACACTGGCACTGCCGCCCACAGCCCGGCCCGAAGTAGCCCTGGGGACAGCCTGAGACACCAGACCATCAGCTGGGGGGACGGTGAGCCTGACCTAATCCTCCCCAGGCCTCCACCACCACCGGGCCAGGGCCCGGGACTGTGGGGCGGGAGAAGCCCCTCCATACCCAAGGCCTCTGCACCTGTCCCCCAGGTAGGAACCGAGCCCCGAGCCCTGGGGAGGAGGGAGCCCCAGGCCCACTCAGACCCACCAACCCGGCCAGGGCAAGGCCCTCGTTCCTTAGCAGACACCTTCCTCCCCTCCTCCAGGTGCCAGGTGTCCTGTGGGGCGCAACCGGCCCCACCTCTCCCTGCTGCGCCAGGTGGGCCTTCTGTTGGGCCCAGGCAGGTGGGAGGGTGGAGCCTGGCCCAGGCTGGGGAGGGATGGGGGTGGGCTCAGGCAAGGAGACTCCCTGTTTGTCCAGGGACAGGAAGGCAGGACTAGGTCCCCGACACTTGGGCATGTGCACATTCGCGTATGCATGCGCGTGTGCGCGTGTGCGCGTGTGCAGGCGGGGCCGGGACTCACGCTGCTCGCACCACAGGCCCACATAGCCGGCCTCACACAGACACAGGCCGCTGATGGCGTCGCAGCTCCCGTGGCCTGCACTGCAGTTGCAGGTGTGGCTGCAGTCGGGCCCCCAGTGGCCGCTGTCACAGGCTGCAACAGGGGCCGGGTCACCCTGTGCAGGTGACCACAGCCACGATGGGGTCCGGGGCCCTCCCCGGGGCCTGGGCGGAGGCTTCCCCAGGGCAGGGCAGGGACGCTTGCACACCAGGCCGCCTACCTCTCTGGCAGCTGAGGCCGGTCCACCCCGGGGCGCAGCTGCAGCGGCCAGTCACCGGGTGGCAGAGCCCGTCGTTGACGCAGGAGCATCGCATCTGGCAGCTGGGCCCAAACCAGCCTGCTGGGCAAGCTGCAGGGAGGGCAGGGTGAGCGCACTGGGGACACGGGACACTGGGGCAGGGGGACACGGGTACGGGACACAGGGGTGGGACACGGGGGCAGGGGGACACGGGTACGGGACACAGGGGTGGGACACGGGGGTCGCAGGCGGGGCCGAGGTCGGGGCGGCACTCACTGTCCTGGCAGCGGCCGCCCATGAAGCCGGGGCGGCACAGGCAGGCTCCAGTCTCAGGCTCACAGGAGGCACCGTGCTCGCACGCCGGGCATATCTCCTGGCAGCCGAGCCCCCAGCGACCCTCAGGACAATCTAGCCCCACCACAGCCAGTCAGTCTCCCCTGGGGCCTTGCTGGGCCCATCGGGGAGCAGGAACTTCTGTTCCCACCTGAGCTGTCCCGGAGGAGGGAGAGGGACAGGTCACGGGAACCCCCAGCCTCCTCATGGGCTGCTGGCTATAGGGCGTCCACCCCCAGAAAGGGAGCCCCTGCCCTAGAATGGCTCAACAGGCAAAAGGGGGGCACCCAGAGTGAACAGTGCCTAGAGGACAAGCCACAGGCCCGCGGAGGGCTGGGGGCCGCTGGTCAACCTGTCTCCACGGCTGACAGTTCCTAGTCATGGCCACATGGCCACAGGGCGGCCACAGATGCCCACGTCCAGACCCAAGGCTGGTTGGTGTGAGCTCTCGCAGTTGCTGTGGACTGGCCTGGGGTCTGCAGGGCTCCAGGGCTGAGGCCAGGGCTCCCCAAACACAGCTCAGTGCTGGGGTCCCCAAACACAGCCCAGAGTTGGGGTCCCCAAATAGGATCCAGGCTGGGCTCCCCAAACACAGCCCGGGGCTGGGGTCCCCAAACACGGCCTGGGGCTGGGGTCCCCAAACACGGCCTGGGGCTGGGGTCCCCAAATGAGATCCAGGCTGGGCTCCCCAAACACGGCCCGGGGCTGGGGTCCCCAAATGGGATCCAGGCTGGGCTCCCCAAACACAGCCCGGGGCTGGGGTCCCCAAATGGGATCCAGGCTGGGCTCCCCAAACATGGCCAGGAGTCATGCAGCCCAGGGCGGTTAGGAGAGCACGGGACAAGGCTGCCACTCACCTGCCCCACAGTCAGCCCCGGTCCTCCCAGGAGGGCACAGGCACCGCCCCGTGACCAGGTCGCAGGGGGCGCCCTCGCAGGAGCAGAAGCCTGAGCAGTTCTTGCCGAACGTCCCGGCCGGGCACTCTACGGGGGAGGGTGGGGGGCCTCAGCCACCACCACAAGGAGCTGCCGTCCTCCCCTTGCGGCCCCGCCCCGCCCGGGGCACCTGCCCCCGGCACCTGCCCCCTGCCCCAGCAGCATTGCTGGACACAGCTGCGGTCCCCTGGGTGATGAGGGCGGTCACGGGAGTGGGCAGGAGACGGGGGACATGGAGCAGGACGAGGAGGGGCCTGCTTGGGCTGACCCTCCTTGGGGAGTGGTGGTGAGGGGCAGCCTGGAGACCACAGGCCAGCAGGGCTCGGGGGGCGGGCAGCCAGGACCCTGGAGAGCAGGTGCAGGGCTGGCTCTGCCTTCCTCTCACTTTGGTGCACCCTGGGGACCCCCTGCTGGTCACCCCCGTGTTCAGGAATGAGAGCGGCCAGGCGGCTCCGGGCCCACAGCAGGGCTTCGGGAAAGAATGCAGGGGCCGCGGAGCCTCGCGCCCACCCGTGAAGGCTGCAGTGGCTGCTCTAGTGGCCTTGCAGGGCGCCGCGCCAGACCTCACACCTGCCCTGGCTGGGGAGGCAACGAGGTGGAGGGAGGGCCCTGCCAGCCCCAGCACCGTGTGGCTACCCCAGTGCTGCTGGAGGGAAAGCTCCCAGCTCAGGAAGGCCAGCACGGACCTGGAGAGGGCGTGCTGAGGCACCCTCCACACCAAAGAATCAGAGCCCACCCCGCACCCAAACACCCAGCGGGGCTGAGAACTGAGGACGCTCCCTGCCTGAGGGGCGTGAGGTGTCAGGGGGTGGGCGGGCGCCAGGCCTGGGGTCTCCTTGGGCCCCGAGATGAGCTCCGGACAAAGAACACACCCTGGTGAACTGTTGCCGTGAGGGCCCATGGCGTGCGGGCACAGGCCCGCCCACTGGACTGCAGGTGCAGCTCAGGGCACTCACACAGGCACCCACGCAGTGCGGACCGGGGCGGGCAGGGAGGCCCAGCGGGGCCGGGTGGAGCTGTCCCGCCACCTAGGGGAGCCCCCGCTCCACTGACTGGGGGCAGACGCGTGTTTGGGGGTTAATACTTTCCAGACCTAACAGCAGCGGGGAGCCCGTTACTGCTGTAAAAATATGTGTGTCATTTCCTGTGGCTCATCCTTGGGGCCCTGGAGGCTTTTAAAGAAAAAAGGAAAAGAAAGACAAAGAAAACCAGCAGGGAAGGGCTGGGGGTGAAGGCCCTTCCGTGTCTCAGCACACAGGCCGACAAAGAGGGCAGGTGCAGGCAGGCCTGCCGTGTGCTGGAGTGCAGGGGGAGACTGACCCCTCGGCTGGGGCTGCGCGGTGGCCCCCAGGCCACTTAGGAGCAGCTGGGCGGGCAGCTCTGGCTAAGGGGGACTCGAGCCGCTGCCCCGGTCGGGGTCACACCAGTCACACCGCAGGCCCCCTCGGCCCCCACCTGCCCGCCCGCTGATGGGTGAGGACAGTGTGCCAAGGGAGGTCCCAACCTACCTGCACCCCGTCGGCGGCCACGGCAGCCCCACTGCTCAAAGCCAGGGCTCCCCCATGTAAACGAGGGGCCCCCAGCCTCCAGCCTTGCCCGTGCTTGGTGCCCACTCATGCCGCCCCCCAGCCCGGGTGTCCACGTGGAGGGCCTTTGGTCACCACCCACGCCCCACGCCGGCACCTCCGGCCCAGACTTCGCTCCGAGCCAACACCCTCGGGAGCAGCCTCTGTCCTCCTGGCTCAGACCCACCAGGAAGGAGCCCCTGGCCCAGCTTCCAGCACAAATCTCACTTAGTGTGTCCTGTGATAGAGTGAGTGGACAGGTGAGGGAGGGAGGGGGCAATCTTGGAGAGGCACTGGCCCTTCTCCAGGCCTCCCTGCACGTGCGTGCACATGCACACACACACACACACACACGAGTTCCCGCCCTCTCGGGTGCACAGAGACAGGCAGACCTGTGGCTGAGTCACCACTGCGTGACCAGGGTGGGGACATGGCAGGTCAAGGTGCCACCAGGACCAGCACTTCTGGTGCCCGGAGCCCAGCACGGGCCAGATGACCTGCACCCCACCCGCACACCAGGGCTGGTCGCTCACCTTGGCTGCAGTCCTCCCCCTGGTAGCCGGCAGGACACTGCTTCCCACACTGGCCGCTAACGGGGTCACAGGCCACGCCCGGGGGGCAGGTGCATGCCTGCCGGCAGCCTGGCCCAAAGAAGCCCGGCTGGCACTCTGCAGGAGGAGAGGGGAGAGGGGTCTGCAGGGTTCCGCCGGCCCTGAGGCCCTCCCTCCGCAGCTCTGCACTCACCGTCCTGGCACCGTTCGCCCCCGAAGCCCGCCTTGCAGGCACAGCTGCCGTCCCTCCTGTCACACGCGCGCGTGTTCCGCTGCTCGCACTGGCACTCCTCCGAGCAGCCCGGCCCGAAGGCCCACGGTGGGCAGGCTGCACCCCAGAACCAACCGTGAGGGGACCTGCCCCCTGCGAGCGCCCACCCTCCCCAGCCCAGGGTCTCCGGGACCCCACGCAGAGCCGCTGGTTTGTGCCCATTCCACAGATGAGAAACAGGGTCTCAGAGAGGCACTTCCCAGCCAGGAAACGCTCAGGTCCTCACTGCCTCCCTCTATACAATCCTTCTACAAAGAGCTGCTAGGATGAAGTCTGCTTGCTTTTAGCCAGCATCCCACCGCCTCTCCCATCCCAGGTGTCTATGGACGCAGAGAGGGGTGACCCCATCAGGGGCTCAGGACTTGCTGCCAGGAATGTCCTGGAGCTCTGTGCCCTGAAGCTTCCGAGGGAGGCCTGCCCCTGTCCACGCTCAGCCCACCCACCAGCCTGGCTGGGGCTGGCACCGCCCACCCGGACAGACACCCTGGCGGCCAGTGCAGTCCAGAGGACGTGGCTTTGAGCCCACAGACCCCACACCCCAGCCGGGGCACTTGCTGAGCCCCCGCATTCTCATCTGTAAACAGTGACAGTCCAACACAAGCTGGACCACGGGCGGGAAGCACCCGGCCCACGCTGTGGCCCCGCCCCCCGGACATGGGCGGCCAGCGGGCAGTGGGACTCACCCAGGTGGCAGAAGCGGCCATAGAGCCCCGGGTCGCAGAGGCAGGCCCCGTAGAGGCGGTGGCACCGGCCCCGGTTGGCACAGTGGCACTTCTTAGCGCAGTGCTTGCCGTAGAAGCCTCTGGGGCAGCCTGGGGGAAGGGGAGCCTCTTGACTGCCCACCCGGACATGGCCCCCGCCCGAGGAGATGCTCCAAGGGGCCCCAGGACCAGCACAGGAGTCAGGAGAGACCTGGGCCCCCAGCAGCCTGAGGACCCTGCACCCCAGACAGGGAGGGTCCCGGGGGGTGGCGAGGGCATCACGAGGGCAGGGCAGCCACGAAGTGCACCCCATGGATGCGGCCATCTGCCCTGGCTGGCCCGTGCCCCTAGGGTCTGTGGCCTGGATGGCGGCCAGAGTGGGATGCCAAGCACGTCCCCAGCACACACATGGGAGACGCTCAAAGAAAGCCCACCCTCCTCGTCTGACCGGCATCTGCAGCGTCCTGACATCTGTCCCTCGGTGGTCACCTAGCCTGAACCTCTGGGCCTCACAGAGGGAAGGACACGGGCCCAAGCTCAGGGGGCCCAGGGCCAGGACAGGGCTCTGGCATTCCTTCCCAAAACGCTCCCCTCCAGCTCTGTCCTGCTCCCGTCCTGCCTACTGAAGGGCCTCAGGGAGCTGGATGGTGACCCCAAGGTACGTCCACATCCTATCCACCAGGATCACCAGGTGGGGCCATCCTGCACTGTCGGAGCAGGCCTAACCCAACAAGTGTCCTTAGAAGAGAAAGGAGAGGGAGGCCGGAGACGAGAAGAGGAGGCCACGGGGAGACAGAGGCACAGACTGGGGGGAAGCAGCCACAAGCCTGGGGCACCTGGAGTCTAGGAGACTAGTACGGGGTCCCTGAGAATTGGAACGAACGTCCTCAAGCTCACCTGCACGGGCACACTTTACCCACAGGACCCCGACTGAGACCTGGTCTCCAGGAAGCCACACCACGTCCTGAGCAGAAGCTCAGAAGCTCTAAAATGCAGACGCTTTATCTGCCGGCAGTCCCTTGGGTCCGTTCAGGGCCCATCACACATACAGCGCCCAACAGGCAGTGGGCTTTCAGCCTCGGCAGAATAGGGATGGCAGATCGCAGGGGAAGATAGGCAGGGACGCTAACCAAGCCAAGAAGGTGACCAGAGGGAGGGGGTGGAAAGCCCTGCCTGGCCGCCCCGGGGCTTAGAAACCTGCCCCACAGAGTTCCCACGGGCAGGGGACAGGTCCACCGATTGCTGCCATCCGCTGCTAAGGCGGGAAGTCCTTGATATGTTAGCTACATCCGCCAGCAAAAGAAGCAGAAACTTAAAAGTTCTGAAGACTTTAAGATGAAGCATCAAGCACCTGGGAAACTTATGTGGACTCTAGTTCCTCCAGAAATGTTGCAACTTCCAAGTTAAAAAGGATGGTAATGTCGTCCCATGCAGCCACAGCCCAGGCGTGCTCCCTTCTGCAAATCCCACCCAGCCATCATATAGCTCTCCTTGAATGCTTCCAGGAACAGGGAGCTCACTACCTTCCCGGAGACACAGCACGAAAGTGCTATTCTTCCAACAAGTCCTCACCACCTGCTATAGTCAGGTCCCAGGAGAATCATCAGATGTAGAAAGCTCAATGCCTCTTCCACTAAAGGGTCTCATCCTTCCCCCAGAAGGAAGGAGACTAGGAGCTGAGAGGTAGTGCCCACCCCTCCCCTCCACCCAGAGGACAACCCTGGAGGCACAGGAAGGGCTGCACCCACCGTCCTCACAGCGGGCTCCACTGACACCCGGAGGGCAGCGGCAGGCCCCCGTCACAGGGTCGCAGGTCCCGCCGTTCTGACAGCTGCAGGAGAAGCTGCAGTTCTTCCCGAAAGTGTCTGGGGGACAAGCTGCAGGGGACACAGAGAAGCACAAGGGTCACTGGCCCGCAGAAGGACTCGGGGCCCAGAAGCCCCTCCAGAGACGCTGAGACACCCTCCTGGGGGTCGAGCCACCCAGTTCAAAAGCAACTTCCCAGAGTAGCACCCGATGGCACTCGTGCTCCCTGCCCCTGCCCACGGGCATGGCAGACATCTCTAATCAATCGCCCCATCCTCTCCCTCTGAACTCTGACACGTCCACCTTCTCAACCAGCACTTTCAGAGTGGGTCACTGGCAGACCCTCAGAGACGGTCACTACGGCCCTTGAGACTACTGGGGTCGCTGGACAGGGCGTGGACAGGCTCTGGACAGAGCCTGCGAAAGCAGCTTTCAAATGTGCTTCGGCTACCAACTTGGTGCATGGCCCGGGGAGGTGACCTCTTCCCTCTGGGACTCGGGCATGACTGGCCCACCCGCTCGCTGCTCTTTATGTCTTAGTTGTTGGCTTGTCGCCGGACCCCCCGTCCACCGTGACATCTGTGAGGGGCAGACAGCAGGCCCTGCTAGCCCCTGGGGTCTCCCAGCGCCCAGAACAGGGCCTGGCAAGGAGCAGGAAGCCAAGAGACCCTGAATGAACGAGTGAATGAGTGAACGGATGGACCTGTGGAGCCCCTGCCCAGGGCCGGCGGGCAGGCGTAAACCGTGTGCCGCGCGGGTCCTGGGGCTCAGGGGCCCCGCCCACACCACGCCCTCACAGCAGCCTCACCCTCACTGCAGATGAGCCCAGTCCAGCCGTCGGGGCAGTCACAGCCACGCAGGCTGGGGAGGCAGGTCCCCCCATTCCTGCAGTCAGCGCAGGTCAAGCTGCAATCTGGGCCAAAGGAGTCGTCCAGGCAGACTGGGGGACACAGCGGGAGAAGGGCCTCAGAGCCTGGCCCCTGGCGCTGGACCCCGCCCAGCACCAGGCCAGAGAAGGGGCACAAGGGACGTCCTCAGGCTGTGAAGGCCCCATGTGGGTGAGCGGAGACGTGGGACCCAGATGGGGGGCCAGGAAGGGCTCTAAGCAGAGAGCTAGTGGCCCCATCCCAGGCTCAGCCCCGGGCGCGCTGGGCAAACTGACCAAGCAGCTTGGCCTCTCTGCGCCTTGGTCCAACGAGGCCCTCACGGGAGCCCTTCCTCACACCCAAGACCGCAGGGTGGGCAGCAGCCGGGCCGAGGGGGCGCTGGTAGAGAAGCCCTGGGGACGGGCGACCTCTCACCAAACTTCTCTTGCAGTGTGTGTTCGCCCCGCGCCGCCTCCTTCTCGGCCCCGACGTGGTCATCTTGGAAGAGGTGGGGCAGCTCGTCCTGGAGCACCGCTATGTGCGGGAGGGGCTGCACCAGGGGCAGGTGGCCGTCCAGGCCCACCTCGGGCATCTCCAGGGCTGGGCGGAGCACAGAGGGCCCTGAGCCCCTGCCGCCCCCCCCCCGGCCTCCCCGGGCTTGGACTCCCTGCCCCTCAGTGCCCAGAGGCAGCTCCGGGCCTGAGCCCCACCCCAGGGCCCCTCCTCACCCCAGCCACTCCTGACCCTACTTCTCAGGACAGAGGAGGCTCCGGGCTCTGAGGCCCTGACCCATGCCACGTCTACCCCGGCTGTCCTGGCTCCCATGCTGGCCCTAGGGACCCTGAGCACGGAGCGGGTGTGGGGACAGGAGCAGCTCTCTGGCCCTCTGGACGCTGCCCTCGGTCCCGGGAACCGCGTCCGTCCTCTCACCTGGGCAGGGCAGGAGCCGACTCCAGGGCCCCTGAGTAACACCCTGCCTGGGGGCGCCTGTCTGTCCGGCCCCTCCCCCCAGCTCTGCTGCCCCCGGCCTGTCCCACGGCGAGAGGCAGGACAGAAGTGGGGTCCGTCCAGCCAGGAGGGTGGGGTCCCCATGGTGCCCAGCAGAGACTCACGGCTGCAGCCCCGGCGGTCCTCGCCCAGCAGGTAGCCATCCTCGCAGGAGCACTGAAAGGAGCCGGCCAAGTTCGTGCAGCGGTGCTCACAGCCGCCACGGCCGGAGGCGCACTCGTCCACATCTGCGGGCACACCCAGGGCGGCTGGCGCCTGTCCTCCGGGGGTCGGGGTCTCGGGGCCCCTCCTGCCCCGGCCCTGCCCGCTGCACAAGGGCCTGCTGGGTGATACCCAGGCCACAGCCATCCTCCTGTACCCAGGGTCAGAGGGACGGGGTGCACTGCCTGAGGGAGGCCAGGCTGGGAGCAGCCAGGGGTGCAGGCCCAGCCCGAGAAAAAGACAGTGACCTCAGGCGGGGGACGGTGTGGGCAGGTCCCCACAGCCCTGCCGATGGCAGGGGCCCAACCAGCACCCACTCCCCAGCCAACACAGCTGCCTACCACTCACCCTCACAGCCGCAGCCGTCGGCGCCAAGCTGGTAGCCGGCATAGCAGCTGCACTCATAGCCGCCAGGGCTATTGGTGCAAACCTGCTGGCAGCACGGGGAGTCGGCACAGTTATCGACATCTGCAGGGCACACACCACAGCCCGGCTGGCACCCAGGTGCCCGCCCGCGCGTGCATCCTTCCACAGCACACCAGTGTGTGCACACCTGCACACACCACACGCACACCTGCACACAACCACACGCACACATGAACACACCACAGGCACACCTGCACACACCACACGCATACCTGCACACAACCACACACATACCTGCACACAACCACACACACACCTGCACACAACCACACGCACACCTGCACACACCACACGCACACCTGCACACAACCACACACATACCTGCACACACCACACGCACAGCTACACACAACCACACACACCTGCACACACCACACGCACACCTGCACACAACCACATGCACAGCTGCACACAACTACACGCACACATGAACACACCACAGGCACACCTGCACACACCACACGCACACCTGCACACAACCACACGCACACCTGCACACACCACATGCACACCTCCACACAACCACATGCACAGCTACACACAACCACACGCACACATGAACACACCACAGGCACACCTGCACACACCACACGCACACCTGCACACAACCACACGCACACATGAACACACCACATGCACACCTCCACACAACCACATGCACAACTACACACAACCACACGCACACATGAACACACCACAGGCACACCTGCACACACCACACGCACACCTGCACACAACCACACACATACCTGCACACACCACATGCACACACCACATGCACACCTGCACACAACCACACGCACAGCTGCACACAACCCATGCACACCTGCACACACCACATGCACACCTGCAGGCTCCCACACACACCTTCATGCAACCCCATGCACACAACCCCATGCACACAACCACGCACACACCTACATGTAAGTTGCATGTACTCGCATACAATCACACATGCACACATGTCCTGGTCCTGCACACACAGACACACGCAAGACACAGGTCACGGCCCCAGGGCCGTCCCGCCTGCTGTGGGGGCAGACTGGGGGCTGGAGGGTAGTGGGGAGTCATCCCGGAAGCAGGGTCTCCCCGTGCAGAGGGCGTGCTCGCACACCACAGTGTTTCGGGTGCTACTCCCGGCACGTGGGCATTTGACCAGGTGGCTGAGCAGAGGTGGAGGTGTGGTGGGCACTTGGCAGGGTGGGTCGCGATGCTGCCTCTCACTAGGCCCCCTCGTACTACTCCCGCCTCCACCCCGGGCAGGACTGGGGGTGATGGGAGGGCGTGTCCTTGTCATGGCATCAAAGCCAGGTGCAGACCCAGGGCAGCAGCAAGTCCCTGGCTTGGGGGTGGGGCGCTTGGGAGGGAGGTGGCATGCACCAATGCACGTCCTCTGGTCCTCGTCCAGCTCGTAGCCATGGGGGCAGGTGCAGACGGGCCCTGTGCTGCTGTGGCTGCAGCCGTGGGAGCAGCCGCCGTTGTCCGCCTCGCAGCTGTTCACTATCTCCATCTCAATCCCTGCGGCGAGACCCGCCACCAGGGACGTGGGACAGGGGCTGGGGTGACACCCCGAGCCGGCATGGCCCTCCCGGCCCCAGCCGCTGCCACTCTGCTGGGAAACAGACAGCACAGAGCTCCTGGGCCAGGCGGGCTCTGGAACCCTCTGTCCTCCTGGGGTCTCCCGTCCTCCTCCCACCCTCCCGGGGCCCACACACAGCCCCCAAGCCCGGCACTGCCCTTGATTGACAAGGAATCTCTGCCCCTCGGCCAAAGCGAGCTGGCAGCTGTGGTGGGCTGGGACTGGGGAGCTGTGTTACCCCGCAGGCCCCTCCACGCCCCGTGGTGTTATTGCCCACTGTCCACTCACGGTAGCACTGCCGGCCATCGGCACCCAGCTCGTAGCCTGCGTTGCATACACACTTAAAGGACCCATGAGTGTTGAGGCAGCCGTGGGCACACTGGGCCAGGCCTGTGGCACATTCATCCACATCTGGGTGGGAGACATGGGCGGGGTGGGGGGCTCTGGGCCACTGGCCTGAGAGACTCGGCCCCCAGGGGTGATCTCTGCGGAGGGGTCAGGGCCCAGGGCCCCAGGGCCCTCCCCCGCCTTCCCTCTGAGCACCTGTGCTTTCACCATCGCACTCCAGGTGCAGAGCCGAGCTCCCTCCCAGGGCGAGGAAGGCGTGGCTGGAAGTCTGGGCTCAGGCCCCACCAGCAGCATCAGGTGAGGGACTCTACCTCTCTGAGCCCGCGGTCTCTGAGGTGTGCATGTCCCGCCCTCGCCAAGCCTCCCCCCATCCAGGGCCGGGCACAGGAGGGGCCTTTTACCACCAGCCTCTGGGGGGCCATCCGGAGAAAGCGCACGCTGACATCGAGGGAGAGGCTACCAGCTTCTTCCCTGCAGCCACGTGGCACTGGCCTCAGGACACAAATCCCAGTGTCCCCGACAACTGCTTTGGTCCCACCCCTAAGAGTCCATGGGACGAAGCTGACCCTCAGCCCCGTCTCCCACTGCACCCTCTGAAGCCACCTCCATCCAGAGTGCCAGGACGTGCCCGTCACATTGGCAACGATGCCTAAAACGCTTTCCTGGTGGTGACATGGAACCACAAGCTTCCACACCTGCGGGCCCCGTCTCTCTGATGGCCATCCGGCAGGATGCCTGGGAAAATGACTGCTGCCTGCCCTGGACACACCGTATCGCTTCAGAGTTACGGGGGATGCGCACAGACCCCTCCCCAAGGCTGCTCGTCCAGAGCCGCCTGTAAAGGGAGGAGCAGGGACACCTGAGTCCCATGACTGGGAAACTAACAAACACCGCATAGCGGACACCCATGCAGCCAGGAGGTCGGAGCGCGTTCTAGAAAGCCGTGCCCGACCGGGCTCTGGGATGATGCTAGATGTGCCCACTAACAAACAAGCTGTAGAGACACCTGGAATCCGACACGGGGATGCCACCCGGGTCACGGTGACGCTTCCTCCTCTCTCCTCCCTCACCCTTTCCTGTTTCCCTAACAAGCAGGTACTACTTAGGTAACACGAGAAACATATAAAAATAACAAGGCAACCTGAGATCTGCCTTCCTGCCGACATGAGACTCTCGCTGGGAGCAGCTCCTTGGGTTCCTGCCCCTCCTCTCTACCCTCCACCCCCACCCTGCCCCCCAGCCCCGGAGATAAACCTGCGTCATTCCAGGTCAGCCAAGGGTGACAACAGGGGCCGCCCCACGCCCATAGGCCGGTGCAGGGGGATGCAAGGAGGCGAGCCCCGCACAGCTGACCTGGACCAGCCCGAGGGCAGGGAGGGCGTCTTACCTTCGCAGGCCTTGCGGTCCGCTGCCAGCCGGTATCCTGCGTGGCACTCGCAGTGGGCAAGGCCCCGGAGCGCCCGGCACGTGTGCATGCAGCCGCCGTTCCGATCCGCACACGGGTTCCTCCCTACGGTCGCAGCCAGGAGGCATGGAGGCAAAAGCAAGAGATGGGGGGCTCTGGCAGTTCTGGGTACCTTCTCCGGGGCCTCTCGTGAGGCCCCCACCTGGAGCTCTCACTCCTCCTGCTCTGGCCTGACGGGCTGGGCAGTGGACTCGGAGTAAGATTAGCCCCGGGCATCCCCAAACAACTGCAGAGAAGACAGCAGGGCACCGGCCAGGCCAGCGCTGGTCAGGCCGCGGGCTCACGGCCGGCTCCCCCAGCGCCTCCTCTCCTGTCGGAACCCCCAGCCCCGGGCCCTGTGCCGCTCTGCCGTCACTGCTGGCTTCGGCCCCTCAGACCCACACTCCTGACCCAGGAGCCAAGAGGCCGGGCAGGGTCAGAGCTACTCCCTCAGCACCTGCCCTGCCCCAGTCCCCATTTCCACTTCTCAGGGGTCTCCCAGACCTGCTCCACCTTTTCCATCAGAAGAGTACCCCCTTCCATGACAGGTAGTCCTGCGACCCCAGGGCAAGGTGTCAGACGGGGCCTGGGCAGCCCCCAAGGGCCAGGGCTGGGGTCCCACGTGCCCATGCCAAGCCCAAGGTGGGCCTCAGAACCGGGGGACATGCAGGATGCCCTTCCTTTTCACCCCCGTATCCCCGTCCTGAGCTTCCTGCCCCCCGAAGATGTGTGACCCCAGAGCACAGCCTGACAGGCTTCCTCCCTGGTGCCTGCAGGGGTTGGACGATGCCCCACAGCCTCTCGGCAGCCAAGGGGGCCCCTGCTGTCCCTGAGGCCCCCCTCCAGCACCAGCAGCAAGGCAGGGAGGGGCTCAGGCTGTGGGGTTCCCGGGCGGGTCTGTGGGTGCGTGCAGAACGGGGGTCCCAGTGGGAGTCCCAGCCCCGGCCCTCCCCTTCCCGCCGCTGGTGGCACTCACGCGCGCAGCGCTTGCCATCGTCCTGGAGCTGGAACTCGGGCCGGCACCGGCAGCGGTGCTGCGTCACCGTGAGCTGGACACAGCTGTGTTGGCAGCCGCCATTGCCCACGGCGCAGGAGTTGATGGCTGGGGACCCGAGAGGAGCCAGGTCAGCCCAGGACGACGGCCTGGCCCCGGGCAGCCACAGAGCGCCTCCTGCAGGAAGACTCCGGGCCCCTCCAAGCCCCTCCTCCTTTCTGTCCACATCCCAGAAGCAGGGGCTTTGAGAGGGCGACACTGTTCCTGTCCAGTTCGTGGGCCTGGCTTTGCTTCTCGGCCCACACACGGGATACGCAGGGCCGTGGTCCGAATCTGGATCCTCTGGCCCAGCCTGCCCCAGGACTGGGTGTAGGGAGGCACCACAGAGCAGGCCGCCCACCCCATTGGAAGCCCAGCCCCACCCAGCACAGAATGCAAAACACTGGGGTCCCCTAAGAGCCAAGGCGTCCAGGGCTCAGAGTCCGAGCAGGCTGGGAGGCTCCCTGGAGGAGGTGGCAGGCCAGCAAGGGCTGGCGAAGACCCCGACATTCCACTATCTAGGTTATCAGGCCAGGCCAGAGGGGCAGGCGTGGGCCTCCGTGGACGGCCACCATGACCTGCGGGCCTGGCCCCCAGCTCCTGACGGACCAGTGCAGCTCCTGCCCACCCCAGGCCAGGCCTCACCCCCACCTGGCCTCACACAGTCCCCGCTCCTCCCAGCAGCTGTGGGGACAGCACTTGGTAAGGCCACAGAGCCAGGGACCTGCATCCCGCTCCCAGGATGCCAGGGGTCCAGGTGTTCATGCTCAGGCCCACACAGGGCAAGGCTCTTGCAGGTCAGGCTGGCCGAGTGGGTGCCCAGGTACTGAGTGGATGGGCTGGGGCTGTGCCTGGCGGGGGGTGGGGCCACTCAGAGAGGCTGGGCACCCAGAGAGGGCACCTGGACTCTGGTGCCTCCTTCAAGTCACTGGTAGCGACCTTGCGGTCAGGGAGGGACAGGCCCTGTGCTCTGCAGCAAAGCTTTGAGAATGTGTTACTATCTGTGCCCTGGGGAGGCGCAGGCCACTGCCCAGCGGGCCTGGACCAGAGCAAACCTGAGGCCTGGTACTAAAACACTGCGACCGCCGGGGGGCAGGGCTTCACCCCCAGATGCCACCTGTGCTGTCATCACAGACTGCGGGGCACCACTGGCCTCAGGGCCCGAGTTTGGAGAGACCATTTATTGTCATGGGTTTTGGGGGCCAGGAGTGGCACGCCCCGCACCACCGACGCCAGTGGGTCCGGGAGCAGCCAGACGATACGCGGAGCACGTGAGCGGCCTCAGGGCTCGGAGCAGCCCAGGCCCACGCTGTCCGCCAAAGGCAGAGCTTCCTTCAAAGCAAGTATGTTCCCCCAAAGTCAAGACACAGCACTCACGATCCTGCCGGCTCCCACATGGGGCGAGTGTGTGAGGAGCCCGTGCCCAGGTCCCCTTCTGGGGCCGAGCCAGCCCTGCTGGGGCGCGGAGGATAGCCAGGGTGGCAGTGTCGTGTGGCTGCCGCGTGTCGGGGAGGAGCAGCAGAGACACGAGTCCTAGGTGGAACGGAGGCAAACAGGGCGGCCACGTCTAACATCCCGCTCAGCCTCTGGGCCCCCTGTCCAGCCACCCACCCCCGACTCTGCTGACCCTCGAGGCCCCGCCTGCCTCTCCTGAGACAGCTCTGCTTAAGGCACCGCCATCAACTCCAGAGAGAGGCTTCCGAGCGTGGCCTGAGCCGGCCCATTCCTGGGGCCCCTTTCGTGTTCACACCAACTGCATCCCTGCTCAGAGCTCATAATAGGAATCAGAAGCCCTTCCTGGCAGCGCCGGGCAGGCACACGGAGAGAGGGGCTCGGAGCCCGGGGCAGGGCAGCCGGCTGGGCAGACACCACAGCAGCAAGGACGACCCACAGAGCTGTGGCACGGCTGGAAAGCAGCCCTTCCAGACGGCAGAGCCCCCAAGACGGGCCCAGGGCAACCCAGCTCCGGGCCCACAGGAGCCCACCGGGGCAGAAATCCCAGGCGGGTGGGGGCTACGGAGGGGTCCGGCTCCCCATGCAGCCTCGCACCCTCCCAAGCCTGTCTCTCACTGCTCTGCTGCACAAGTCCCCACGTTCCGGATGCTCCCAAGCTGTGCACACGAGGAAGCCAAGCCCCACGCCATCACCTCGAGCATCCTGTGCCCTGGACCGCCAGAAAGCTGAACAAGGCAGTTTTTCTCGGGCGTTGGGCTGTGCAGCTCAGGAGACAGCCAGCCTCTGCGTGACCAGTGCCCAAAGCTGGGGATGAAGCTTCTAGGCCCCTCGGGTCACTGTGAGACCTGGCCATGGAACCCACATCCCACTGACCCATGCCTGGGTGGTCCCGCAAATCAGAGCCGGGCTCAGACCTGAAGCAAAGCTGACAGCCCATCAGAAAATGGGAGACGAGGGGTTTCCATAGCCCCGAAGGGAATTAATGTTTGTGTCCCTCTAAAATTCATATGTGGACCCCTAAAATTCAACCACCGATGTGGCTGTATTTGGGGGTAGGGTAATTAAGGTTAAATGAAGTCATCAGGGTGGGGCCCTGATCAAACAGCATTTGTATCCTTATAAGAAGAGACATAAGATCTCCCTCTGTCTCTCTCTGTCTCTGTGGCCATATGAGGAGATGGCAGCTCTTACCAGGAACTGAGCTGGCTGGCACCATGATCCAGAACTGCCAGCCTCCAGAACTGTGAGAAAACAAACTGCTGTTGTAGAAGCCGCCCAGTCTGTGGTACTTGTTGCAGCAGCCTGAGCTGACTATTGCACCTTCACGTCCCAGTTTGCAAATGCCAAGGCCAGGGGACGCGTGGGTTCTAACAGAGCTGGGCTACAACTCCACTTCAACTTCCACCTCAACTTCCCTTCAACTTCAACGAGCAGGAGTTGGTCTAGCCGGGAGCCAGCTGTGAGGCACCAAGCTCTTCAAGGGGAGTGGGGCCTTTACTTGAGCAGGAAACTGGACATTCTAAAAATCAACTGTCCTACAGGGTGGAGGGCCTGCTCCATCCATGCAAGCGGTTCTCCACTCCTGGAGGTACAGGTGGCAGCACCTGGGACCTGGGCACGGATTCAGGGCTGGAGCCCAGCAACAGGTGCGTATGAGTGCCATGGAGGAAGCAGCAGGTGGGGGCTTGGAGAGCTGACCTCCAAGGCGGCTTCGCTGGCAAGGCCCTGGTCTCAGAGCCCGGCACGCCGGCCTGCCCGAGCTGGTCAGCCGAGTGGCTGTACCTGGCAGGCTGGTGGGGTGAGGGCAAGTATGTCGGCAGCGTGCCGAGCCCCCCAGCCCACTCTGCTCCAGCCGCCAACCCCAGCCAGCGGTTTTGGAGCAGGCTCGAGGGCGGCTTTGAGGGTTTTGTAATTACTGCCCTCGACAGGCTTGGCTTCTAGGTCCCAAGAGCCTCACACCATGTGGGGTCAGCAGCCACCTGCAGCCCTTCCTTCTAGGAAGCCCTCTGCTGGCGGCAGGGCCAGGACGGCGGGACAGGAAGCGGGTGGCCCCCTGGCTTGGCCAGGAGGGGAAACTCCCCTGGGCCCTGTCCACTCCTGCCCCCCTCGGCAGCCCACGGTTTGCCTGCTCTGCCTGCGCGTCCTGCCCCCCGCGCCCACCCTCGGGCTGGGGCCTCCGCGCTGCACGGGGACCCGGTTCACCCGCAGCGTGGATGCACTGCCCTGCCCACGAGCCAGGGGCTGGCACCGTCCCAACATCACAGGCTGGCCCCCACCAACCGCCCCTGCTCCCATCTTGCTCTCCGCTTGGTTCTGCCAAGCTCACTGACTCTAAACACCCCCCAGACCCCGCCCGGCCGTCTGCCACTGCCCCACTTTGCCCTCGCTTCCCCGCTGGGTCTCTGCATCCAGCTGGGGTCTGGGCCGCTACCCCTGGCTTCCCCAGGTTGGGGTGTGACCCTCCCATCACCCATGGGCGCCAGCAACCTGCACTTCCGGGGGCCTGGTCTCAGGCACAGCCGTGACCTCCCAGGGTGGTCCTCAGGCAGGGCTGGCCTTCCCACTCTCCACTCGGACTCAGCGGCCCCTCGGGGGCAGGGAAGACACACTGCCTTTTAGAAGCTGCAGCCTGTTCCGGGTCTGGAGGGGACTGGAAGACATTCCCAGAACTGCATCTGTGGTTTGCAGGGATGAGCTCTGCAGACAAGCCTGGCGATCTCCGCCCCTCTGCTGCCTGCGGCTTTGGCACCCACGCCGCATGCTGTCAGCAAAGCCTCCAGGGACCAAGGCGGCCTCCCCTCCGAGGAGCCAGAGAACAACGGCCTGCAAGGCCTTGTGCAGCCCCTCACTGGGAAGACCCGGGCCTGGGGGAGTGCCTGCCCCGAGGCCACATGGCGCACCTGTGGTAAAACCCCACAGGAAGGCGGGGGCGCGGAGACCCTCCCCGTGTTGTGGACCCAGTAGGGCCCACCTAACTCCAGGGGCAGGGCACTCTGGCAGGGGCAGCCAGGTCACCAGAGGGTGCATGCTGACAGAAGAACCCTTCCCCCAGCGTCCATCCAAAGGCCCAACAGGCCTGAGGCCGAGGGGAGGAGGGGATGGGTGGAGAGCCCACCTCTTCCAGGTGGCCAGCCCGGGGCATCTCACAGGACCCTCTGCTCACTGAGCCAGTGACACCACCATGGATGTGGGCAAGCAGCCACGTCCGAGGCCAGGGTCCAGAAGGGACCCCTGGGCCGGAGGCTCTCTGGGCCAGACGAGGAGGGTTTCCCGGCACCAAGTGTTCAAGGACCGGGAGCAGGTCTCTGCGGGTTTGCCTGGGGCGCCCCGCAAGATGGCGCAGTAAAGCCAAAACGTCACTCCCAGACACCCGCCCAGCACTGCTCTCGGTAGCCCCATTTCCCACAGTTTGGGGAAGGAAAGGGGCCATGGTGAGAAGCAGGCTGGCCCAGCCCTGGGCCTCACTCGGCCCTGCCCTTCCCACCTCAGAGCCTGGTGGGGGGGGGTGGGCAAACCCAGGAGGGCACCCTGGCGATGGAGCGCCCCAGCATGCCTGGCTGCCTCTGCTTCTTTCTCTTGGGGCCAGGCTAGCCAAGGGCAGCCAGGGTGGGATGTGAGCCACTCAGGGGCCTCGGGGCTGATGGTAAAATCCTTCCTGCAAATTCTCACTTTACAAATTGAACTTTGGGGACTTCCCTGGTGGCGCAGTGGTTAAGAATTCACCTTCCAATGCAGGGGACATGGGTTCGAGCCCTGGTCCGGGAAGATCCCACATGCCGCGGAGCAACTAGGCCCATGCGCCACAAATACTGAGCCTGCGCTCTAGAGCCCGCAAGCCACAACTACTGAGGCCCAGGCGCCTAGAGCCCGTGCTCCACAACAAGAGAAGCCACCACAATGAGAAGCCTGCGCACTACAACTAGGAGTGGTCCCCGCTCGCCACAGCTGGAGAGGGCCCGCACGCAGCAACGAAGACCCAAAGCAGTCAAAAATAACAACAAAAAAAAATTTAGACAAAAAAAGAATTGAACCTTTTTGTGTTTTATTTCCATAAGATCTTTTGCAAGGGAGGGATGCAAGAAGACTGTGCACTTCCTGTCCTCTTCCTGCCTCTGAGGCAACTTCGAAGAGTGTTTCAAGGCTCCCCTTATCTGTTTCAAGCACCCCCCCCAAGCACTACCACCTTTAAAGACTTCCCAGATCCTTGGGGCCCCATGATGTGGCACCAACCTGAGCGCTCCCAGCACAGAGAACCTTCCCACTGTACCGAGGAAGGACTGTCAACATCCCTGCGGGCACCTTCTCTACTCCTACCCTCCAGCATCTCTATAATCCTTACTCCAAGCTCTGAAGGCGGGGGGACCGCGCCTGCTCCCTGCCTGCCTGCAAAGTCCCGAGAGAGCCCACCGCACCCCTCGCCTTGTCCAGAGGATCCCAGTAGGCCCCGGGGAGGGGTCCCGAGCAGTTGTGCTCCAGCTGTGCAGTCTGCCCTGCAAGCTGGCCTGTGTGGGGGAAAGGAGGGCTGGGGAGGGGCACAGCTCCTACACTGACCTTCCCATAAATGTCTGCTGAGACCCTAGGATAGTCTGGGCTCAGAGGGTGCCACTGTGAACCACAGACAAGGCCACCAGCTCCTCCCCACGCCCTGCACCCTGGGAGTCCTGCAGAAGTGGAGAAGGCCACACCTCCCAGAGGCAGGAAGTCCAGCAGCCTGGCAGGGGCCATGCAGTGCCCTCCACGGGCCCCCACCTGGAGCCCCTCATCCGGGATCTGAGGGGCTCGGCCGCCCTACCCACCCCAGACCAGTAGGTCAGGTGCACTGCAGCCGGGGTGGGTCCCTCGGCATCCGAAAGGGGCACATTTAGGGAGAAGGGCCGGGCGCCCTTAGGGCAAATGCTTCTTGCTCTGCCTGGGAAGAAGGCACCAGGAGACCCCTAGCCGCTCTGGAAGCTTTTCAGTAGAGCCCAGGCCCCCCACAAGGAAGGCAGCCCCCAAAAGACCCAAGCCGACAAACCCACACCACTCCCAAGAGACCTGGGGACCGCCCTGCACATGTCAGCTCCCAGGAATTCCAGATATGCGGAATTCACCAACAAGTGTGCATGACTGTGTGTGGGTGCAGGGGATGCAGTGTACATTTCCCGCTGGGAGTTGCAGTCAAAAGAAAGAGAAAGTGACAGACCCAGGCCAAACACCAGCACTTCCAGCCAGGGGACGCAGGTAAGAGGCTGGTGCCCAAGGTGGGTCTCAACTGCGCCCTCTGGTGGGAGCGACCAGGAAGTGGGCGTCCGCACCCAAGAGAGCTGCAGACCTCCTGGGGCCCTGGGGCACACCACGTGGTCTGGGTGTGCAGAGTTGGGGGTGGCAGGCAGGGAGTGCGGTGAGGTCCCAGCAGCCTCTTGACAGGCTGTGCAGGCCACGCCGGGGGCCCCAAGCACAGGCATCTCCCAGGAAAGGCTCCAGGGAGGGGCTCCAGCGTAGCGAAGGGGTGGGCTGGGTTGGGGGCCAGGGGCAAGGCTGGGGAGCACCCCTCCTGGGCTTCCGGAAGCCAGCAGCTCAATGCCACTCTTAGAGGCCACCATAATCCCTCCCAAAGCCCTGAAGGGCACCCTCCCCTGTGCGTGCTGTGTACCCGTTCTGGGAGCTCAGTGAAGGCCACCCTCGGGAGAACTAGGGGGGTCTAGGGAGACAGGAAGGTGTCTCAGCCCAGGCCCCTCACCAAGGAGCCAGCAGGGGAGGGGGCAGTGGGTACCACCCAGCCCACCCTGGATCAGCCTCCAGGGACGCCCTTCTCCAAGGAGAACCTGCCCCAGAGGAAGGGAGAATGAAGGACACTTGGGGACCTGGGGGACCAGCAACTGGGGCTGCACCCTGCTGTATCTGTCCTGAAGAATATCACAACATTCCTGCATCTGTTTCCACTTTCCAGCCCAGAGAAACTTTACAGGGCAGCTGCCTCGCTCCCTGAGCGGCGGCCCAGACATATGAGAGCGCCTGTGCCGGGGAGGGCCCCCCAGGGCTGGCAAGCAGCCCTGCCACATAGCAGCAGGGCCTGCAGGAGGGGTGCTGCTCAGAGCCCGCCCGGGCCCGCTCAGGGCCTGCAGGGTGGAAAGAAGGGGCAGCCCCCCGTAGCCGGGGAGAGAGCTGGCCCGTGAGGGTGACCACTGGCCCAGCCCCCAGAGAATGGCCCCCACATGGCCTCCCAGACAGAGCGGCAGGCAGGGAGGGTGAGCCCTGTGCCCACGGGACCTGTGTCCAGAGCAGCCAGGAGAGGGGCGGGGGACGGCCCACAGCCAGATGCCCGGCCTCCACCCTCCACCCTCCATCCAGTGGGCGCCAGCGTTCCCCTTCTCTCCCTGGAGCCTCCCGTGCCGGCAGGGGCCCCCATCGAGTGCGTCCTGCATGGCAAAAAGGCCCCACAGAGGAACTGAGGGCTAACACCCCGCTTCTCGGTTACCCCTTGCCCCCCAGCCTCAGCCCCACCCCCAGGCTCCCCAAGATTGGGGTGGGGGACCTGGGCCTGGGAAGTCCAACTCTGCAGGCCAAGAGCAGCCCCATGCTGCCCCCGCCCCAGGCCGGGCCTTCCCCACCACCCAGCAGGCACCCAGTCTCCCCAGTTTGGGGCAGCACGGCCGGACCTGTGTCCCTGCCGACGGACGACCACAGCTCCTGCTGCATACGGCCCTGGAGAGGATGGTGGCCCAGGGGCTCCTGCCCGTCACAGAAGGCCCCCGGGGAAGTGGCCAGATTCAGCTGTGGCTACAGAGAGGGTGCAGCCCAGGTCACAGGGCTCAGGGTCCCAGGGTCCAGCCTCCATGGAGAGCACCAGGCCCAGAACACGCCCTTTCACCGCCTGGGCCCCAGCAACCTGGCGTGAGTGGTGCTGGCCAGGGCCCACGATGGGTGGCAAGGGCCCCTCGGCATCCCACGCTCAGCAGGACGGAGGCACTGTAACAGTGGCTGCTCTGATCAGACAGGCCCCACGGGGCCCCATCAGGCCTCTCAGCCCAGGAGTGCAGGGGGCCCGGGCCCCTCCCAGACCCCCAGAAGGGCCAGGGGATGGCTGAGGCCAGGAGCCCCGGCAGGGAGGTGGCACCGGGCCCAGGAGGCTACAGGGGTGCTTACCCAGGCAGGTCCTGCCGTCCGCGTGGAGCCGGAAGCCGGGCTTGCACTCACAGAGGTAGGAGCCTGGCGTGTTCACACACCTGTGCTGGCAGCCGCCGTTGTGCACCTGGCACTCGTCCACGTCTGCATGTGGACACGGGGCCGGGGGTCAACAGCCAGAACCCACCCAGGCCGCCCCCCTCCCCCCCGCTCTGCATTAGCCCCGGGGAGCCCAGCCTGGCCCCCCTCTCTCAGGACACTGCCCCCGCCCAGGTGTTGGGGCCCAGACCTGGGACCCTCCTTCTCAGGCCACGCTGCCTGCAACAGTGCCGAGCCCCTCACCGGCGTGCCGGAGCAGAGTGGAGACAACGCAGGCCTGTCTCCAACGTCTGACGGCCCCTGGGAGGAAGAGCCACCACCTCTGGGGCCGGCTCTGGGGAGCAGCGGGGGTCGGCCAGATCTCGGGGGACAAGCTCAGGTGGGAGGGCGCAGATCCTAGTGCCTTTGAAGACTGAACCCAGAGCACATGCTCTTTTCCAAACTCCAAATCCAGAAATGCTCTCAGGGCAGGGCTAGCTGCTCCTCGGGGGGTTCACAAGCCCAGAAGAAGAAACTGGTAACTCGGGAGATGCCCCTGCCCAGGCCTCGGGGTGGGGGAGCCTGAGTGAGGGCAGGATGGGGGGTATGCTCTGTATTGAACAGTGTCCCCCAAATTCATGTCCATCCCCAGCCTCAGGGTGTGACCTTATCTGCAAGCAGGGTCTCTGAGACGTAATTAGTTAAGGACTGAGATAAGGTCATACTGGAGAAGGGTGGCCCCCCCATTCGGGGACACACAGGGGTCCTGGAGACACACAGGGAGACAGAGATCGGAGGGAGGCGGCCACAGCCTAGGAAGCCAGGAGCCCCCAGGAGCTGGACGAGGCAGGAGGGACCCTCCCCCGGATTTCCGAGGGAGCACGGCCCCGCCGACACTTTGGCCTCTGACTTCCAGCTTCCGGAGCATGAGAGATAAATGTCTGTTGCTAAAGCCACCTGGTCTGTGATATCTGTTTCAGCAGCTCCAGGAAACCAGTGCAGGTGGTCAGCCTGGGGTCCCTGTGCCAGCGACTCAGGAGGCCAGCACAGCGGACATCCCCCGGGCAGGACCAAGTGGAGGTCCCGGGCACTCCCCTTCCAAGACCCCTCACACCTGAAACCACCCACCACAGCGCAGCAGGCCTGTGCTCGCCTGCCCCTTCTGACGGCACTGTGCCTCAGGCCATAGGAAAGCGCTAACCGGAAGCAGACAGGGCTGGCCCAAAGGCCCGGGGGCCACCCCACTAGCTGAGCTGGAAGCTGGAGGGTGAGAAAGACCCTCCCAGGAGTGGAGGCCCAGGGGCTGCACCCCAAAGCACCGGGCCCTATGGCCTGGCCTGGGTCACCTCGGCAGGAACGCAGAGATGCCAAGACCCTTCAGGCTGCCCCTCCCCCTTCCGCCCTCCCTTCAGGCCCACGTCCACCACCCTGGACCTCCGGGGAGGCCAGGCAGGAAGGCAGGAGGCAACAGGCTGCCTCAGATACCTGTGTGCGAGGTTGACGTCAGGAGGGACCCAACTGCCCAAGAGACACAGAGAGACGGAGGGAAGAGGCCGCCTCTCGGGCAGCACAGAACTGAGTGGCCCTGGGCATGGGGACATGAGCCCACACCTGGTCCTCAGCCGGTCCACACCCCTCAGACGCCAGCCTCACCAACAGGGCAGTCAGCTTCCCAGACCAGGAAAAGGGGAGACAGACACACAGACATGCTCCGCTCCCTAGCGTCTAAGAGATAAGCATCTGGGGCACCTCTGCCCTGGCAACAGAGGCCCTGACTGCTGGCCAAGCCTCGCAGGGGAGGCCACAGTCAGCTCAAAGTGAGGGTGGAAGATTCCACTCTGCATGGCTCCGCTGGGAGAAAGTTTAGTGACTTCAGGGGCAGGTCTGCAGCTGTGTGGAAACCTGGCTTGTTCCCAGGGGCTGTGCGGAGCTGAGGTTCCTCTAATTCTGCTTAATAATCCCGAGGGTCCACGCTATTTGCTGCAACTCCACTGTCCAGCTCTCACCCGCCATCCCCACGAAACTGCCCACCTTCGAGGCTCCCGTCCTAAAGCCCCAGCCATCCGAGCACACCTTTGAAGGGTAGCGAAGGCGGCACGGCGGCCAGGCTCCTCCTGGAGGGTCGCCAGAGCCTGCCTGCCAGGCTGTGCTTCCCACGGACAGAAATCCTGACTCCAGTCCACACCCTGAGCATGTGCCTGGCCCTCCAGGAATGACCCAAGACGAACCCAGGAGGCCAGGGCCTCTGCTCCATGCACAAGCCACATCCACCCTGGGGAGACCCCCCAGAGTGCCCCCCAAGCCCCGAGGCTGCCTCAGAGAGGAGATGAGACCAAGAGAACCCCTCCTTGGAACCACGGTGACCTGAGGGGGCTTCCTCGGAACGACACCAGGATGATTGGCAGGGGGAAGGTTGAAGGCAAAGGGTTAACGGCCCTCAACAGAGCCCCAAAGAGTCTTGGGGAACAAAGGGAGACCCCCCAGAGTGCCCCCTGGGGAGCACAACAGAGCCCCAAAGAGTCTTGGGGAACAAAGGGAGACCCCCCAGAGTGCCCCCCAAGCCCCGAGGCTGCCTCAGAGAGGAGATGAGACCAAGAGAACCCCTCCTTGGAACCACGGTGACCTGAGGGGGCTTCCTCGGAACGACACCAGGATGATTGGCAGGGGGAAGGTTGAAGGCAAAGGGTTAACGGCCCTCAACAGAGCCCCAAAGAGTCTTGGGGAACAAAGGGACCCAGGGCATGGGGAGAGGTCTCAGGACCCAGGGCCCTCCTGTGGGAGAGTCAGCTGGGTGATGTGGAGGACAGTAGGAAGACCCACACCCGCTGGGCACGGCAGGACGGGCCATCCGAGGGGGCTCAGAAAGGAGACCCCATCCCCTCTGAGCTCAGATCCCTCTCTCTGCGACCCCTTCAAGGGTCCTTGAAAAGTAAAGTGACCGCACGGAGCACAGCACTGGGCATACAGTACGGGCTTAGCGAGGCTCAGGGGAAGAGGCGCCACGTGTGCCGTCCGAGGGGGTGGGTGGACGGACTGAGTCGCGGTGTGTCTCGAGTGGCCTCGCCGGGCAGGCAGGTAAAGCCACAAGAGAAAGACAGAGGGGCCGTTGTTCCCAGACGTGGCCCCAGAGGCAGGCGCGGAGAAGGCACACCAGCAGGGATGCTGGCTTTCAAACCGGCTCTCACTGGTCATCCCAGACACTGGCCTCAGAGAGCAGCTGACCGCAGAGGCACTGCACCCCCAAGCCCTCGGGCACCTAGTCGGGGGGCGAGCCCGCCCCAGGGGCTGTGTCCTTGAGCAGGACACATGGGGAGCCCGGCAGCCTGTGGGCCACAAAGACACCAAACTGATGGACACTCTGGGAAAGAAGGTGGGGGGTTGGGCAGGGGCAGGCCGCCATCGTTAGGGCCCCTCCAGCAACAGCCCTGACCGCTGGGCCCTCTCCACAATCCCACCCATGTGACCACGCTCTTACCGTCCTCCTGCTGCGAGGACGGGACATTTAGATCCGAGAGATGCTCCCAGGCTCTGCCTAAATCACACGGGCCAGCCCCTCGGCCCCCCAGGAGCCCTCCCCTCCCCCAAAGGTGCACCAACAGTGACAGGGACCGTGGCCAGCAGCAAGGTGGGAGGCCACGAGGCCCAGCCAGGGCTCCCCCTGTCCACGGTTTGCTGTCAGCCCATCTGAATATCTGGACCCAGCGGGGCAGCTCAAGGCTGAAGGATCTGAGGCCTCCCCCTTCACCTCCCTGCTCATGGGCGGGCAGGGCATTTGGGCAGACGCACTCCTGCTGGGGTCCCTCCAGCTCTGAGATCGAGGCCCCTTCATAGAAATGACTTACACTCAGAAAGCAAGGCAGGACGGAGTTACCGAAAGCCTGCCGGCCCCACTCCCAAGGCGGGCCACGTGGTGGCAGAACAGAGCTGCTCTCAGCCACCTCCAATGACCCATAGCCGCTGACCCTGTGACCGTGACTGTGGTCATGCTGTGACCCGAGGAGCACAGGCTCAGCTCTTTGAGGGTGTGGGCAGCTGGATAATGGCCCCTCAAAGAGGCCCACATGCTAATCCCTGGAACCTTACACAACAAAAGGGGCTTTGCAGGTGAGATGGGAGATTATCATGGAGTATCCAGGTGGGTCCACCGTCATCACACAGGCCTTACAAATAAGAGACAAGAAGGAAGGAGGACCCAATGCAATGGAATACTACTCAGCCATAAAAAAATAAAATAATGCCATTTACAGCAACATGGATGGACCTGGAGATTGTCATACTAAGTGAAGTAAGTCAGAGAAAGACAAATGCCGTATGATGTCACTTATATGTCACTTCTCTGTAACAGAACTTATATGTTCTGTTACAAAACAGAAACAGACTCACAGACACAGAAAACAAACTTATGGTTACCAAAGGGGCAGGGGTGGGGGGATAAATTAGGAGTTTGGGATTAGCAGATACACGCTCCCATATAGAAAACAGGTAAACAACAAGGACCTACTGTATAGCACAGGGAACTATATTCACTATGTCGTAATAACCTATAACGGAAAAGAATCTGAAAAATAATATATATATACATGTATAACTGAATCACTTTGCTGTATACCTGAAACATCGTAAATCAACTATACTTCGGTGATAAATAAAAGTATCTAAAGCCACGAAAAAGATGGAGGGCGGGGCCACAGCCAGGGATGCAGGCACCTCTAGAAGCTGGAAGAGGCAGGGAACAGATGCTCCCCGGAGCCTCCAGGAGGGACCAGCTCTGCCAGCACCTTCACGTTCACCCTTTTCAGACGTCTGACCTCCAGAACTGTAATGTACCAGACCTGGGTGATTTTAAGCCACCAGGTTGGGGTAATGTGTCCCAGCAGCCATGGGACATGAACACAGTGAATAACTATCTTAGCAGCCTCTCCAGAGTCACGGAGGCTCAGACCACCCAAGCTGGAAATCCAGGTTCCCAAAAGTCCGCTCTGCCCAGCCTGGCCTCCTGACACCCGCAGTGAGGGCCACTGTGCTCCCTGAGGGGCTGGCGGCGGTCCCCTGGGTCCCGTGATGCA